TATCGAAGACTATAGTACGTACGATGGTTTAAAACGGATAAAACTAATATCGCTATATTAATCGAGAAGCAAGGAATTTAATATAGTTATCGTATCTTAGTTATACCCCTTAGTCGTAGAGATATAATAATCGCTAGCCCGAAGGTATAAAAGGTAAGGAAAGAAAAGGAGTAAAACGTAAAAGTCACTTATTCGGTTATAGCGGTACGACGAAATAACTTAAGCGCTTATAACTAAAATAAATGCATTAATCGGAAAACGACGAATCTAATAATAAAAACGAATCTTTAATTAAAGTAAAAATAATAAAGATAGTAATCTAACTAGGTAATAAACTAGATAATAAGTATAGCATATCCCGTACTTACGGGAGCTATGGTTACTTTATATAGGCATAAGGCCTATCGTAGCGTGTTACGTAATGCATTAAGAGGGTATGTCTTACCGCACCACTACAGTAGTTACGTCGTCGAAACTAGGCATAGCTTAAATTCGGTAGCTAGATACCCGAGATACCTTCTTAGAGGTAATTAAGGTATTTTAGATTTCCGATTTAAAAACCGACGATCGTAAGGTTTACGTAATTAACGAAGAGAACGGTTTTATAACTAAGGTATCCGAAAGCGAGTATTTTAATTACGGAAAAAAGGGATACTAGGCTTACGATTATAAGTAACTATTAAAATTCCTACGCTAGTAGCTAGCTAAAGGTAAAAAGGTTACGTTTAAAGGTATCTTATACGACGTAGTAGCCGCCGGACGTAGTAATTTCGCTAAAAAGATTAATAATATATATAATAAATAAAAGAATAAGGGTAAAGGTAAAGGTAAAGAGAGGCGAAGCTACGTCGCCGTTAATTACGAGCCCGACGAAGATAACGAGGACGACTATAGTTCTAAAGATATCCTCGATAACTTAGAAGTCGAGGAATAGCTAAAGGATATCTTCGAAGACCTTAAGGCTTAGGATAGCCGCGTTTACTAGGTCGAAGTAAACGCCGGCGATAAACTACTACTATATAAAGATAAACCGTTACGAAAAGGCGCTAGAAAGCCTTATAACTTATTCCATATTAAAACGATAACGGGCTAAACGATTATAGTATTTTTCGATTACGGCTACGTTATTTGCTATATTTTAAAGGTAGTTATAATAAGCCTAAAGCTATACGCGTCGAAACGACGATCCGTTATACGAAGCATTAGCGGTATAGGACCTACGGTAATATATAATGCTATCGTAACGATTCGATTTAAGATACCCGACGGATAGTTTAATCCTTTTACGTTATCCGCCGGGATCGTATTTAACGGTACCTTCCTAGGAAACCTTATGATCGGTAAGGATATATTTTATAAGTAGGGTATTAACTATAAATATAATATTATAAGGAATAAATTAATTACCTTAAATCGATACGATAGTTATCCGATATTTTAATTTATTAACTTATTAGTTACTTATGTCGTCGGAAACCTAGCCTTTACGTCGAGCGAGCCTATATCCGGCATTAAATAATATAAGGATACCTTAGTCTCTAATCCTATCGTTAACGAGTACTTAAAACGTTACGTTAAGGACTTCCTAGGCTTATTTAATCCCGATAAGAAGCGAACGGATATCGGCGCGAAGATACGGTATTATATTAATACTAACGATTACGCTCCCGTAAAACTACCGCTAAGAAAATATAGCTTATTATAAGAGCAGGCCTTACGAGATTTCGTTAAAAAGTACGAAGGTACGATTATATATAAGAATAAAAGCCCGTAAGTATCTTTATTATTACTTACGCTTAAGAAGGCTTTTAGCTAAACGGTAATACTAAAGAAAACCGATTAAAACGTTATCTAGCGCTTTTATTATAACTATCGTAAACTAAATAAACGTATTAAGAAATACGCTTACCTTTTACCTAACGCTATAAACTAAGTTTATAAAGTAATAAGCTATCGATGGTATACGTTTATCGATTTATTTAACGGCTTTTAATATATTCGTATCGCCGACGAATATTACGAGAAAATAACTTTCGTAATATCTTTCGGTATCTACGAATAAATTATAATACTTATAGGGTTAATTAACGCTTTAGTTACCTTTTAAGCCTTTATAGAAGAGATTTTCGAATTATTTTAAGAATTCGTAGGTAGTTTCTTAAACGACGTAGCTATTTAAGGCGATACCTTAAAATAGCTCGACGAAAAAGTAAGATTATTATTCGCCCGGTTCGCCTTATACGGCATAATAATTAACTCTAAAAAATTATAGTTATTCGTTAGGAAAGGCGTATTCTTAGGCTTCTTTATTTCTAAGGATAGTATCTAAATTAATTTAGCGAAGGTCGTTATTATTAAAGATCGATTCTAGTTAATAACGATTACGGAAATTAAAGCTTTTATTTACGTAGTAAGTTACCTTTGGTATCTTATTAAGAACTTCGCTAGGCATTTCTTATCCCTTACGAACGTAATAAGAGGACCTAAAAACGCTTCCGTAAAGCTAAACGACGAGGCTATAGTAATATAAAAGCTAATCCGCGATAAGATTATAACGGCGCCCGTAGTAAAAGATTACGATTAGAGGCGCTTATTTATTATCGATATTAATTCTAATTAAAAGAATATCAGCGCAGTATTATAATAACCTTATTTCTACGGCGATTAATAAATACTTTATTTAGTAGCGTACTTCTCGCGGAAGCTTACGGAAACGTAATCTCGTTACTCCGCTTAGGAACGAGAGTTCTTATATATCTTATTAACGCTTTAATACTAGCGCTACTAGGTAAAAGGAAAAGATGTTACGATAATTACGGATTATAAATTATTAAAGACTATTAATATTAAAGCTAAGTAACTTATCCGAATTATACGTTTTTTAAATACCATTAAGTATTATAGCGTTAGGATCGTTTATAAAGTTAGAAAAGCTAACGTTTTAGCCGATTACTTATTAAGGCTACTTAATAACTCGGAGATATTAATAAACGGGATATTACCGTTTATAAAAGAAGCGATACCCGGAAAAGTTATTAAGTATCCCTACGAGCTTACGCGTTTCGATATTTAAGCGATTTACGAATACCTTTAGTTTCGGTAGCCGCCGCCGAGCGCTTTTAGTAAGGAGTAGATTAAGAAATACTTCGTAATATATTAAGGGAAACTATATAAGGTTAATTAATATACTAAAGCTTAAGGAGAGCCACTATACGCTACCGGAATAGCTAGCGAGGCGGTAGGCCTTTAAAGCGTTATCGAATACGATAAATTATTAATAAAGCTACGAAACGTATATTACGATCGAAGGTATATTATAATAAGAGTTATCCTTAAGGAGATTTTAAGGCTATATTAATATCCCGAGATTACGCTCGTAGTATAATAAATTATTATAAAATACCCGATTTATTAGCTTATAAAGAAGCCGGATCTAACGCTACCGGACCTATAAACTATCCTACCGCTTACGCCGTTTACGAGATAGGCGATTAATTATACGTTTATTAGTTAATCGACGTTACTTATTACCGTCGAATACGTTACCGAATAAGTCGAAAGCGAGGTCGTATCGTTAATCGCGTTTAAAGATTATATTCCGTTATTAATTCGTATTAACGAAACCTTCGGATATCTTCGCGAATAAATAAGCGATAACGGCGTAGCGTTTACGAGTAACGAGGCTATTTAATAGTATCGTTAATATAATTCCGTCGTAAAACCTATTATACCGTTACGCCCTAGAGGTAACGGTAAGGTCGAAAAGGCTAACGGTAACGTTAAACGTATAATATTACGAGAATATTAAGCGAATTTAATAATACGAAGCCTTTTTAATTTCCTACGTCGAGTCTTTACGATATATATTAAAACGCTAAAGCTAAGCGATTATAGTAACTTCTTCTTTATATTCGGTACGTAGTTACTATAAAAGTAATAAGTAGAATTCGCCGAATACGTTCGTAAAGCGACGAAGAAAGAGGAGCTATAATTCGTATAATAGCTAGCTAAGTAATACGAAGCGCCGATAACTCGAAGCTATTATAATAACCTAAAAATATCGCGAGATTAAATACGAGCCTACTTATAAGAAAAGAAAGAACTTATTAAGACTTACGCTCCGGGAGATTAGGTATTAAGAATTCACTAAAGGTTAGGTAAATACGAACCTTATTACGACGGCCCGTAAGCGATCGTAAGTTATTACGCCGGTAATACGTATAAGATAAGAAGCCTCGGAAGTATCGAAATATCGAGTAAATATAACGGAATTAACTTATTTCCGGCGTACGTTAACGATAAATATCCCGTACGTAGTTTATAATATGTTAGTAAACGCTTATTAAAGTAAAATCGTTAGCGGTTAAGAGATTAATTTAGGATTACGTAAAAATAACGTTAATAAGGCTTAATATTAAAAATTATCGTAAGACGCGCCCGTTAAGGATTAGGAACGATCCTTTCGTAAGAGGAGGAGTAGTATAGTACCTAAGGAATTAGGTATTAAGAAAGGAGCCTTATAATTAATAGAATTAAAGAAAAAATACGTAATAACTAACTATTCGTAAAACGCTATATTTAAGCCCTTTTAATAGTTTAGTTTTTATACCTTTAATTAATTAACTAGGTTTACCTTTTAACTCGTCTTACGTACCTTAAGATTAAGGCAGCGAGGCTACGAAAGGAACCGCCACTAAAACGCATAGGTGGGTGTATATAGGGGTGGGGTTGGTACCCAAAGTACCCGTAAGTCCGTCGGTAACCGGCCAGTCGGGATCCATGCACCGAGGTATCCGATGTATCCGGGTACCTATTACGTGAGTTAGATACCTAGGTACTTAGACTATAAGCAGCATCTCCCACGATCTCCGTCGGCCTTGTCGGCCTCGCTTCCTCTTCACTACTTGTTCGTCTTATTATTCTGCCTGTTTCGGTCGTAGCCGAACGACAAATAGACAGTTTAGCCATACTCGCCCTCGCACTGCAGAGGTGTATATGGAATGAAATCGACTGGCCCTCCACGTACCGTTGGCCCAGAGCACCAGCAGGCGTCGCCATCGGCATCCTCGAGTGAGAAATCCCTTAAGCGCCGCAGGCGGGCCTTCTCCTGCCTATCATGTCAGAAGTTGAAGTGCAGATGCGAATATGACCCCGGCGCCCCCGGCTGCCACCGATGCCAGACCCTCAGGTTAGCCGAAGGAACCCTGGTAGTCATAATTTAGATCGCGACCCGAACTAATAAGTCTCTGAGGGTCAAGAATCGAGTGCTCTCTCCGCCAGGAGCATGTAGTGACTCCGCCTAATCCGGCCCCCGAGCTGGCCGGACCTGACGTCGAAGAGAGGTACGCGCTCGGAGTGGGCGATCCTTCGGCCAGGGGGATGTCCGGGTCTGCCCCGTGTCTCCGCTTATGGCTGGCGAGCTTACGTGTCTGCCAGGTTCAGACGCTACGAGGACGAACTGCGGGAGCTCAAGTCTATGGTAAAGCATCTGACCTCCAAGGCCCATCTGCATGATGACCGTGCCCGGGTCGGGAGGGAGTCTCCCCGGAACGACGACGGCGGCGTATCACGGACGGACCAGGAGACCCCCAGCCCCGAGTATTTTTCCAGCCCGGCAGACAAGGGGACCCAGTCCGCACCGGTCGTCGTGCTGAGAGGAATATCCCAGCAAATAACCAAGGGGTACCGGAGATTGCTAGAACACATCGACGTGGATCTTGTGCAACTGCAGCTGCTCGACGAGCAGACCGCCGTCGAGCTGATTCAACTGTGAGTTTCCGCGGAGGCCCCGGCGCCCGCCCATAACGACAGGCGCCCTGACGTGAGATATAGCTTCCACCGACACCAGGGGCACAACCTCCTCGTCTGCGGGGTCGGGGATCTAACGGTAGGCAGTGAAAACCGTAGAGTGTCGGCCTTCTTACATAGCGTCTGCTGCTTGATGGGCATCGTCTACCGCGACGACATGTGCGGGCACCCGGTCCATAGACAGATCTACGAGCAAGTTCGAGTCACCCTCGGCCAGGCTCTCCTATCCAGCCCGCTTAATCTCGAAGAGATCAACGCCATCTTAATCATGAGCAACAATGCAAATGGCCCCAATAGCGTAGGTGACCGTGACTTATACCCGCGTCTATTGTCGTCCACTCCCCCCTTCTGACTTGAGACAGAGCGGGGCCGAATACGTCGATAGCTGGCTGTTGACCGGCTATTGCGCTAAACAGGCCATGCTCAGCATCAGCTTCTCCCGGATCATCGACAACATTAAAAGGGGCAACCCGACGGCCAAGGACCACGGCGCAATTCACTTGTGGTCCAGGATATGTCTCCATCATCTCCAGTAAGCTTCTCTTCTTTTTTTTGTCCTCTATCGATCCGTCCAGAGGCTGATTCGCCTCGTTGCCTCGTAGTTGGGCTGCCACCACCGGCAGGCCCTCCATCATACCAACTCCTTACGTCAACCAATGCAATATTCTGCTTAGCTTCTACCAGGCAACCATGCAGGACGGCATGCTAGTGGCTGAGATCTCTCTCTACTCGGTGCTCCATCAGAAACTTGCCCAGCAGTCGGCCCTCGGGGACGGCGATGAATGCGAAGAGTTTCTATTGTGGAAAGAGAAGTGGAAACACTTGCTAGGTAAGTGGTACTTATAAAGAAAAGAGAGGGGAACGAAGCGAGAAGAGAAAGAGGGAGAGGAAGGATCCGGAAGGTTACAACTGCTAAACCAGGCCAGGACTTGGAACCTCATCGATGTTGAGGATTGGATATCACGCCGCCTGTCTCATCTTGGCTGTCAGGTCGCTGGAAGAATCAGGCCACGCTCTACGGCCCAGGACATTCCTCTCGGAGGCAGACGGCGACAATGGAAGTGACGACGAAGGTCATACTCTCGGGGCGCAGTCGAAAGAAACTAGGGATAACGACGGAAGCGTCTCGCGAGCAAACGCCTGCAAGTATGCCGTTCTCGTCCTCGAGACATTCCTGGAGATGCCGTCGTTTCTCATGGACGCGATCCCGACCTGCCTCTGCCTCTGCATCGGATACTGCGCCATAACCCTGGCGCACTACGACGAGTCGCAGTCGAAGGTCTCGGACCAAGTCAGTATCGACCTGATCACTAGAATTAACCAGTGGATTCGCACGTCTCCCGGCAAAGCCTGGTCCTTCAAATACGGCGCGCTTGCCAAGCAAAAGATAGAGTCCCGAATCAACGACAGGTCTAGCTGGCCGGGGGCTCGCCATACGCCAACCGGCGCGCCTCTCCGGGAACGGGGGGGGACACGTGGCGACAGGACGGATGCGGCGGCTAGCTCCGGTGGTCCAACTTCGCGCCAGCCCTCTGACGGGGTCGCGGAGTGCTGTGTTGGCGAAGTATTACCACCTACGGCTCAGAACCTCGAGGCCGAGCCTATCCTATCGACGTTCGACATACCCGAGGACGCGATATTTCCCAGCATGGAGGACTTTTTCGGTGGTGGCTTCTTAGACTTCCTGGAGTGAGGTTGGGGATGGACGTTGGAGCTTATACGTGTGCTAGGAAGCTTTCTGCAACGTGCTAGGTACACAGTCGTACACAGTTGGTCAACCATGAAACTTGAGTTTACTGTTATTTCACCTTTTAGGGGTGGGACACGAGTCTCAAGTGGGACAAGACGACTTGGTAAAGCAAAAAGTGCCGACTCGTCAGGAACGAGTTGTTCTATTCTCTGGATTAAGGATTACGAGGGCGCGCCCTTCATTTTCTCTTCTCGCGGGTGCTACTCTCAGCTTGGTGGCGTCGCGCTTACGACTAGCGGAAGTTGACGAAGCAAGGTAGAGCGTATAAAACGAGCGTCGACCCGCGCTTATCGTCTTGGTCTCTGCTTGGAACCGTGCTACCCTGATATTTGATCATAGTTGCGCTATTCCACCTAGTCAGGTACCTATTTCGCATAGCCCGTGACCGCATTCCGACGTGGTAGGGACGGCTCAACCTCGCAACACTATCAAATACATCAACATAAACTGGCACAACGCTGGGAAACTGACGCCCGTTAATCTCGAGTCCTATACCGTGAGCTTCCGCCTATAGATATCCTAAGCGGACAGACGCTCGAAGATGGGTAGCTGTATTGCTCGATCCTTTGGGTGCGGCGCGCATCAAATGCCGCCAGTGCACGGCTCTAAATCTCATACCAGTGGTGGTCGAAGCCCTCCATTGCCGTGCGCTCTCTATACTGGGCGAGGGCGGTTTCGAGATTAGGCAAGCGGGGGGCGTGGGCGTCGTGATTTTCGTGGCGGAAGTCTGTCCACTCCCTCGGCAACAAGGCGGCCAAGGGCCCCGCACTGTAGAGGGAGTCCCGGTCGAAGTACCAGAGGATGGTGAATATGTCGATGAACAGGACTTGGACGACGTTGTAGCCATACAGGCCCTGGAGGTGACGGCCGAGGGCGGTTACATTCTTGCGCTCCACGATGCCATACTGCCAGAGAATGACATCACCTAGCCCGGCGACAGCAAACCGGACGGGAACTATTATATTGGGGTCGTTCAATTGCCACTCGTCGAGGGGCCTCTGCCTCGAAGAGATCACTGGCCCGTTTGTCCCCTAAATCATCCAGTGCACCGACGAGGTGGGAACCACGATGGGCGGGGACTCGCCGAAGACGTTATGTGGCGGCGGTTTGAGCGAGGCCGTTTCGACTGGAGCCATGGTGCCGGAGGGGCACGAGCAGCGGAGGGATGCAACGACTGAGAGGGACGGTCTGGTGTGCGCCCGGGAATGCGGGCGCGAGCGGTGGCAGCTGGTGCGGTGCGAGGGTGTAGCATGGGATGGTAACAAATGGTGCGCGGAGCAGTGGACGGCGGGACAGTATCGAACGCATGTAAAGAGAGAGGGGGGAGAGGAAGAGGGAGAGGGAGGGAGAGATGCCGCCTACGATGGCGGTTCGTAGAGGCGTCAAGGCGTCAAGGCGCACAGGCAGTCCCGGGGGCAGGTTCTTACCTAACCTACGGAACATTACGTGAGGTAGGTACTTAGCGGGAACGTAACCTCCCGGGCACGTATGAAGAGAAGAGGAGGCAAGTACAATGCCTATAGAGGTAAGCACCTTCTAAGGTAGGTAGGTGGGCGAGGGAGGGGGATGCAACAGGCCTGGCAGCTGCATCCGCCCAAGCATTCCTTCCCTTCGGCACCGATTTCGCACGCACCGCACCGGGGTGAGTAATGGCTAATCATTCACAGGTTCGAGCTGTAGCGATCGATAGTGGGAGGGCACATTTGGAGGTACCTACGAATGCCTATATATATCTGTGTACGGCTATACTCATATACAACTACGTCCGGAGGGACATATACCTACCTAGGTATAAGATATATATATAGACGAGTCTCGGGCCCTGCCGGTCAGGTGCTGGTCCCGCCATGCAGCCTCGAAGGCCGAGTCCACCGGGCTGTTGGCTTAGTGGAAATGGAGGGCGCCTAACGCTGACGGAGGTGGCCGTCAAACCCGTCGTCCTAGATGTCAAGTGCGGGGGCAGTGTAACCTTCCCTCCGTCGCACACGCGCACACCCCCCCAAGGTCTCCAGGTACGTGGGGAAGTACAAGGCTGCCTGCACACGTACCCGTCTGCCGCTTTTCTCGCCGCGTCTTGCCCGTGACGCTACCGTATAAATACATCAAGTCGGGAGTACCCGACGACGTATCGGAGTACCTTGTCTTGGTGTCTTGGAGACTTCGGTACCCCGAGGAAGGAACTCGTGGCGGGGCAGTGACGCACGTCAGTTTGCGATTGCCCACCTCGGTCGGGTCCCGCGTCGCAGTAAAAAAATTAAAAAAAAAAATTAAAAAAAAAACTAAACACCATGTACCTACCTAAGGTTAGGTTAGGTTAGGTACCTAAACGATGGTCCGGCAGCCCCACCAACCATAGCTAGCCCGTTTCTGTCTCTCTGCTACCTACATAACCCCCATTACCTGCATGCAACCAATTAATTCTCCATCCGCTCACTCACTCGCTCATCCTATTCACACAGTTCGCTTGCTCATCCAACACAACGGGCTTCCTCCTAACCCTCCATCTCTTATAAATCGCCATCGCCTGCCTGCAAGTTCTACGGTCGTCTTGTGTCTACCGTCTGCCAACTCTTGCTTGCCAATCTCGCCGTCCGTCTTACCCCCTCTCCGCCCCCCCCTCTGCTACTCATCCTACGCGCCTAGACCACCCACCTACGGCGACGACACCCACGAGGCCTCTCTCCCATCTCCGTCTCCGTCCCCGTCCCCGTCCCCCTCTCCTTCCCCCCCACCCCGTTATCGTCTGCCGTAGTCAAGATGGTGGAGAAAATCTACCTCACCTATAATGATGTGAGTAGGCCCCGCACGTCCACTGCTCCACTGTGCTGCTTCTGGTTGCGCCGAATGCCCTCGTCCCTCTCTACCCTATACCGCCGTCTGCGCTGACCCGCCGGGCGTCCGACAGGTACACAAGCTCTGCAAGGAGGCCGCGCCCAAGATCCTCGCCGACTTCCAGCCCCAACTCATAATTGCCATTGGTGGCGGCGGCTATGTGCCTGCTCGTATCTTGCGCTCTTTCCTCAAGCAGCCCGGCAGCCCTAACATCCCCATCCAGGCCATCGGCCTCTCTCTGTACGAGCAGCTTCCCATCACCGGTCCCTCCGACGCCGTCGCCGGGCCCCCTGACCAGATCGGAACCAAGGTCACTCGTACGCAGTGGCTGGACCTGAGCAGCCTCGGCGAGATCCAGAACCTCGTCGGCAAGCGCATCCTGATCGTGGACGAGGTCGACGACACCCGGACGACACTCGAGTACGCCGTCAAGGAGCTTGAGAAGGACGTCGAAGAGGCGCGACAGCGACTGGGCCCCGGCGCCGGAAAGACGCAGTTCAGCATATTCGTCTTGCATGTAGGTTTCCCGCAACGTTCCCGTCGTGCTGGCATCTGCTTCCGTCGGCGCTGACACTGGCCTCGCAGAACAAGGACAAGCCGAAGAAGGGGGCGTTGCCCGCGGACATGATGGAGGAGTCGAGGTATCTGGCGGCACGGACGGTCGGCGACGTCTGGATATGTTACCCGTGGGAGGCCACCGACATCGACGCGCACGACGAGCTGGCAAAAAAGGCCTATAGCAACGGGACTTCCTAGTCCCGAGGTAACCAGGCGCGCGCATTTAGAAGTATTTCTTTTTCGGATAAGGTAGATAGGGCATGTTGATAGACACTAGAGAGCCAATCCATACATACCTAGGGGGCAGGCTAGACGACGCCAGCCTAACACCACGAGAGCAGAGCAGAGCAGAGAGTAGGGTAGGGCAGAGCAGAACGGGGCAGAGTAGGTCGTGCTCCCCGCGTAGGATCAAACCGAGCAGCGCTCAGCTTCTACCGAATTGGTCTATTGCTGCTCGACTTCAGGGGTATAGGGTACACGCGTAGTCCTCTCCTTCTGGTTTCTTTCTTTCTTTCTTTTCTTTTTTGTCTAGCCGCCCAAGGTGCCCTCCTTAAGATGTTTTTCCTTTAGCCTCTTTTCCTGCTTCATAAACTCCCGAATGCCCACCGGTATATTTTTGTACAGGTTGTCGTCCCAGAGGTCCTTGGCGATCTTAGGTTGGCCGGGCATCTTCGCGTCCGTCGACCAGTTCGTCTCGCTACCGCCGCCATCGTCGTCCATGCTCGTGGCGCCACCAGCCTCGACGGCTTCAGGCGGCCTTGGCGACCGCTGCGCCTGCAACGCCTGCTCGGCCGCCGCAGACGCCGACGCCCACTCCTCCATCTCATCCCGGTACCGGTCCCAGACGCAATTCACGCACCCGCTCATGCAGCAGTTGTCGGGTTCTTGGGGCCGTGGTGGGACTAAGATGCCCGCAATTAGCGTACTTCGGTTCCGCATGGCTTCGAGACGCTCGGCCCGCTCGGCAGGGCCGGCGAGCTGCGAGCCAAAGATGATACGTGCCTTTTCCTGCGCTGTTGCCGGCCGCACCGGGGATTGCGGAGGGGAGGTTGTCGCTGGCCCGGCAGCGCCAATCCCGGGCTCCTTTCCGGGGGCCGTCTTATGAGGGGGTGGCGGCGACTTGGGGGGGGCGACGGCTGGAGCATCCCGCGGCTTCACTTTGGGGACGGGTTCCGGCTGCCAGAGGATCGCTTCGTAGTAGAGACCGATCGGCATGGCTTGTTCAGGCGACTCGGCCCGGGCGCCACCTGGGAGTTTCCCGCCGGAGGAGAGGAAGATGCGATGTGCCTTAGGTTGTCGGGCCACGGAGCCAAGCCTCGAGGCCCTGACTAGGGATCTTGGGTTGAGCGGCATTATGTAGGCAGGTCTATCATGGATCAGCTCGGTGGAGAGGTTATAACCATGAGCATGTTGAGAGCCAAGTTGAGGATTAATTACTTGGATCAAGGGGGGCGAGTAGGCAGGTAGTCATGAGATTATGTAGGTATGGATTTGATAGATGGTTAGCGGCTTGATAGCGGGTTGCTAGATAGCTAGATATGATGAAGAGAGGGAGAGAGAGTGTATGTCTTCCGCCCCGCTCCGCCTCCCCTAAAACCAACGGGAGAAAAAACCCGACCGGCAGGTTTTCGGATCTTCTTCGCTTCACGTCATCGGCGAGTCACAGTTGGTGGATGCGCTGCGGCAGGGGTTCTTTCAGGTCTTCCTGTACACTCGTCATGTGCGGAGAGTCAGGTAGGGAGTACACATGTATGGGCGGTTCGTCTCGGTAACGAATAAGTAGTGTGTACATGTTGTCGACGTACATACCTACCTGTAGGTACCTAAAGCAAGTTCCCACCTTGGGCTACAGGTACTTAGGTACTTACATGAGTGCATAATGCAAATCATAAAAGCTGCCCGGGTGGATGTGAATAAGCCGCAGGTGCATAACTCGACACAACATACATTAGGTACGTAGGTACCTGCGTAAGCCATGCATAAGGACAGAGGAGGAGGGTGACCTCAGGTATGCAACTCTCCTCGGCGCGTCAACAAGCCCACCTTGCCAAAATACTACGCGTCTGCGTATCCGCACATCTACTTCCATACATACCTACAAACAATTTTGAAAAACAGAGGGAAAAATCCCTGTCGCCTTTTCCCGTCCTAGAGGGTGCAATGCGTGAGCCGTCGTAACCCAATTGGGCCCCCAGCACAAGAACCGCTCCCCGAACCATACCACCTACACTGATGCCCGAGCATTCCTTCGCATAACACGTTCCCTAAGAGTTGGGATTCCCTCCCAGCACAGCCGACGCGGCTCCCCCGTCCACGGCCCAGGCCAAGATCGAGCGACGCCCTGGAGCGCCATACCAGACCCCATGAAGTCGGCGTACGACGAGACACGGCATGCTGTAGTAGGAGATAACCTTCTGGAGACGCGATGGATTCCTCGGCCCCGAAACGACGCAAGACGTCGCCTACTACGAGCGTCCCAGTCGGCGGCGCCACCGCGCCCGCGCCTTCAGATGCCTCTGCAAGGCGACCTGCACGACGACACATGCCTTCGTTCGCGTCGCCGACAAAGGCCAGCCTGGCGCGATCGAACCCCGACGTTCTAGAGCGGATGAACGCCGGACCGCGAGCCCGACGGCTTAACGACACGCCCGCGTCTGCGGTCGGTAGCTCGACGGGGAATGGAGATGGATCTGATCCCGCGCGGGCGCCCGCCGATTCGGAGCTGGGCAATGGGGATGCGCGACATATACGATCCGACTCGGCTGGCCAGCCGGGAAGCTCCATCCGACGGGCGACTGGAGCTATGGCTTCACGGCCACGAAGAACTCCAAACAGACCGTCACCGCGTCCGTTGCCACCCCCCTCGGCGGAAGAAGAGGAGTTGATAAATCCTTTTAGGGGGCGGGTTCTGCGACGTTCTCCGCTCGCTGGCGTGCCCGTGCCAGAGGAACCAGAGCTCCCGCCGACGCCGACGCAAAAAGGCATTTCGGATCCGGCCTCAGTCCATACCTCTCCTATCGGGATCCACAACACGCCCTCCAAACGCCCGAGGAGGAGCAGGGCGCTAGCCGAGAGGATTAAGAGCTCTCCGCTAAAGCAGCCACCTCTCCATCCTCCCGAACTCACCAGGGAGCTGACGCCAGTCGCGGCGCCGTCTCGCGTCGCCGACAGGCTAGCCGCGTCGGCTCCGCGAGATCGGAAAAGGAAGCGCAAGCCCCACCCGGCTCGGAATGTCGAGGAGCTCGACGCGCTCGCGGAGAAGAAAGCGCTGCGTGATTCGCTGCTGGCCGAAGTTGGCCGTTTGAAATCGGACCTGGAACTCGCCGGTCGCGCGAACGACCGCATCTATCAGCAACAGCAGGCAAGCCGGGATAAGTCGGCGCCCTCGGAACCCGAGGACAAGGACGGCCTCCTCGACTTGCTTCGACGGCATGCTCTTCCTCCCGAGCAAGAACCTGCCCCGCGCCCGTCCCAAGACTGGCTCGAAGCGGCGTTAAATCCCATCTCCCTCCTGCCCTTCAGCAAGCCAGATCTGTTGCTCCCACCCCTACTCCCCCCCCAGAAAGAAAGCGCGCACGAGACGGAGAAACCTCCGACGTCGCACCACCCCGTGCCGATGACGGCGGAAGAAGAGTTGCCCTACCTTCAGGTTTTTACGCCCCTGGCCTTCGCGTCGACCATGTCCATCCTTCCCCGGGACGACACCGCGGACGGGCCCGGCCCGCTCCTGCAGAGGCATGCCATCGCCATCGCGTCGACGCCCCCGGGCTTGTTTGTTGCCAGGGTCGAGATGACGGTCAACACCAAGTCTCTAGCTATCGTGGACCTGCGCGTGCCGCACCTCGATCCAGCGGCAGTCAACGAATTGGGACCTCTCGCGGAGAGAATTATCCGGGGCGCGGGCTCCAGCGCCCTCGCACGGAATATCGGCGTCCTGACCTGGGCGATGGGCGAGTGGCTCCGGGTCGCCGTGCGGAGGGCTCGGTTCTGGCACGCCGTGCAGAAGGACCTGGGAGGCAGCGAGGGCCTGGCAAGGTGCGCCAGGGAGATGAGAGAGGTTCTGAAGAAGGGGGTTACGCGAACCCGTCCACCGCGAGACGAGGAAGACGAAGACAACAGCGAAAACGAGGGCGGGGCCGAGCCAGGCAACCCGCAAATACCCCTCACTAAGGCTGACCTGCTCCCGTATATGGGAAAGACGGACCTTGACCTAGAGCTGGCCGACGCAGATGGTGCGGAAGAGGCACCGAGCATCCGCATACGATGGCGCATCGAATTCGACTGGACAGGGGAAGCGCAAAGCAAGATGGGGCTCCTGGTCAGCGCCCCCACGAAGTGTAAGTCGGCAAAATGGCTGGGCCGGCCAGATCCTGCTCGGACGGACAGACGATCTAACTAACTAACCGCTCAATAGGGCACGGGCACGATACCCGAAGTAGCCTGGGAAACATCCCGGACGTGTTTGACAAGCTGGTCAAGGACAACAAGGATCCGATGATGGCCTTGCGGACGGTAGTCGCCTTGCTAGTCGGCGAAGGGAGGTGAATTGCTGCCAGACGCGATGTGCTATAAAATATGCTGTGCGAGGAAGACGTGAGAGAGAGGGACTGGTGCATTTGCCAGAGGGCAGGCTCGGTTACGGGCACTCGCACACGCGCACATCGAGACATCATAGCTATCAGGGGGAATGACCAATTTATAGCTGAACAGCTGGGGTCTGTTGGGACGACCTCCCTTGCTCTCTGCTTCTCTAGGCTCATGTACGGAGGCCGGCCGTCACAGACTTGCTTGGGTGTACGTTGATTAGATATAATTACAAACAGGCCACCCACGGTCAACAGAACAATACGACACAGCACTCTTCACAGAGGGTTCACGGCATTCCAGTTCTGTTCGAGCATGGTTCCAATATCCGCAGGTAACTTGGGAGGTAGTCGTTGGTATTGCGAGAGAGGTAGGAGGATGGGAGAGAAAGACGGACGACCAACTGCTGCGATTGACCTGGCTCTTGCTCGAAAAGGGGCGGCGAATTCTCGTTTCCATCCTGATCTTTTTATTATTGAGGCTTGCCGTAATTTCTGTTCCCTTCGCATAAGTTGGTCCCTCAATCCACATCAACACCCAGCCGGCGAAGGTCAACCTTAGCCAACTCAATCTCCTCCGTCAGCTCCTTGTGCGCCTCAGGCACATCGTGGAACGTCATGACATTCCATCCGAGACGGAAGAGCAGGTACGCGCCGAAGGAGACGAGAGCCCAGAAGGGAAGCTGTATAAGACGGAGGCAGTTGTCTCAAGGGTTAGCCAATTGTCACTTGTTTCCCTAGTTCACGTCGGAGAGGACAAGCGTATGGAGGCCGGGCAGGTAGCTGGAGACAAGAAAGAAGGGGGCGGGGTTGGCACGGGATCCGACGTACGACTGGGACGATCTCGGTCTGGACCAGCGGAGGCAGAGGGATGAGCTGGAGGTAGAGGGCGAGGTAGAGCTGGGGGCACCGGAGGGCTTGTGGTTAGCATAGAAGTAGCTTATGGTTAGGATCGCATGGTGGTCGGATAGACAGACGTACAGAGGTGACGAGTAAGCCGACCGAGATGGTTTGCTGTGCGCGTGTCATGATGAAATGGGGGAGGGAGGGAGGCGCGCGACAGGGCGGTATGCAACGTAGTATATCGTAGATGGCGACGGCTAGGGATTCTTTTCTGATGGCGTCTGGATAGCGAAGCAGGCCGCGGGAGAAAAGCCGGTGGGATCTCTCTAGTCAATTGGTAAAAAGGAGCGACTCGGATAGTAGAGGAAGAAGATGGGAGGGAGGGAGGTTAGTGTCAAGTTCAGTAGGCAATCGAGGTGTTCTACCTGTAATCCATCACCGGCGCGTCGCGGACAACCTGTCCGATGTACCGACACCTGGTCCTTGTAGGTACCTCCTATTGTGTGTAGGTACAGGGTACATACAGATATACCATGGGTTATGTAACCTACCAAGTGCCTGTACCTGGTAGTGCTCTCGGCCGGGTAGGGGCAAGGGAGATATAGGGCAGAGTAAGCAGGTGCTTTCCAACAATTCGGAATTCGCCAGTTCCGACTCTACCCAAAGCAAAGGCGCTTTGGCAGAGTGGCCTAATGCGGTGCCCTGCTACCCCTTAGTGTTCTTAAGCAAGGCATTCTCTTCGGAGGCGCAGGTTCGAATCCTGCAGGCGTCGCTTTCGAGATTCTTTTTTTTCTTTCTTATTTTGCCCCTCCCATACCAAAGACCCTCGACCCTGTTCTCGTTATCATGAACTACCTCAGGGACCCAGCTCCCGTCCTCCAAGCTTTCAATTTCTTTCGTATTTTTCTTGCTTCGCCGCGGTCGGCTATTCTCCGCAAAAAGCCGGCGGCTGCCGCTAAATAGAACGCGTGAGTTGTATCTGTTCTCCTCTTCCTTGACTTGGAGCGACCTACTACGTCTTCCCACTATGCTCACCCACCACATCTGCCCATCTTCCAAGTGGCATTTCATTGTGTAAATGTTCTTCTTCTCTGTCACATACCTAGCCAGAAATCCCATAATCATCCTCAGCAGAAAGAGAAGAGAATAGCATCAACCCCTCTGTCCGACATACCTACCTATGTTTTACACGGGTTACCAGATAATGGAAACTTGGTCACGATCGTGAATAACCCAGGTCGCCCTTCTCCAGCATATCACCTCTTCTCCCTCCTTATCCCTCCCCGCCGCACAACCAGTCCGCTCCCTTCTGGAATCTTTCAAAAATAAATGCAGAAAAAAATACACGGAAAAGATGCTCTCAAAAATGCAGCAGTGGTTACGGGCATTCGTTAGGACGCGACGCCTGCAGGATTCGAACCTGCGCCTCCGAAGAGAATGCCTTGGCTACGCACATCGATAGCAGGGCACCGCATTAGGCCACTCTGCCAAAGCGCCAAGATCCCGCTGTCGAGCTGCGCTGCGCTGCGCTGCGCTGCACGGGTGAGTGACCGAGTGGCTAGACAGACCTATCAGAACCGCCGCCGCCGCCGCAACGTCGTTGCTGCATCGCACCGGGGGCCTAGTCTCTCTCATCGGGGCCGCATCGTAGAGACTACGAGGGTCACATCTATAGCATTCCCACCGAGATAGAAGTATCACCCTCATTCAAAGCGTGGGCAAACGGGCCTAGATGCTCCCCCCCCGGTCCCGTCTCGGAAGGCATTCGCCGTAAACCGCTGGCTGTAGGGCGCCGGCCAACTTGTGCCACGTCAAGAACAGTCATCCCGAAGAGGCACGGAAACGCAGAAACTACACAACGCCGACTACCCCTACTTCCCGTTGTATCCGCGAGGAGAGTCTGGGGTGATACCACCTTCGTTTCCTCATCCTACTCGCCATCCTCGTGGCCGATTGCCAGTACACGTCACCTGGGCGCACGACCGCGAAGGTGACGAGGCTCGCCCCCCGGATCTTCCACGTCGCACGCGGGGGGGAGAGGTTGTATCAGCGAGTGCCGCGGGTGACTGACTTAATTATGGCTCACCCGGCCCTGACCCCTTCGTGTCGAGTGCCCTACCAAGGAGGACCCTTCCCAGGACCACGTCATCCAATGCCGACGACCCCCTAGTAGCAGTGCCTCGCCCTCCTAGCAAGTCCGTTGATAAGTATCACGAAGCGATGTGTCCGCTCCCTCGCCGCTGCCCAGGCCCAGGTCTGTTCCTGGCTCCTCCGCAGCTCCCCGTCAATCCCATCCTCGCCTATCACTTCGGGCCTTGCGGGTTTGGCCCCCTGTCCCCGGCGGGCGCGCAGTTCCTGAACATGGTTGCTCCCGGATATATCATCAACGTCGATCCCAACGCGCCCCTGTTTCCTACGGCGCCAATCCGCCCGCGACCGACCCATGGTCCGCGCCATCATCCTCACCAGCATGGCTTCCAGCCCGCACGACCTCCTCCCCATCCCCACGGTCACGCCTCTAGTGATCGCCCCGGTCGCTATGCCCGTCCGCATCCGCATACGCACCCGCACCCGCACCGACACAACGACGGGCCTCGATGATGCCTCGCCTCCCCCCCACAACCGTGTTTCGCTGCGCGAAGTCCCCGCCTGCGCTTTTAATTCCCGCAGACGAGGAGAACTCAAGAGGATGGAGCGAGTCTTATTTCAGAAGGATGAGGGGGGGGGGGGGTGGGGAGGTGAATGCGGATCCCCGTAACAATCCTTACATGGCTGCAATCTAAACGATGCGTGATGTGGAATATGTCAAGGTGCATCGGCGCGAAGTTGGCGGACTGACGAAGCCTGCGGGAAAACATAGAAATGCTGGATATCGTAGTCTGCTGCTGAGTTGGTACCCGTTTACTCTCTCGAATTCAAGCCATACCTACTAAGACGATGACGTCCTCTCTCACATCATTACGTTACCGCAACCGGCGATGCTATTAGACCTGGTCTCTCACGCCGAAGCTCGACAGACTGACGAAATAGATTCACCTTACATTAGGAAACGGGCATGGTGATCCCCTAGCTATCACAACGAGAGACTGGAACCAAAGCAGCTATTAAAGGGGAGAAGATAAGCGCTAATTAATTCCCTTGGTCTCGCGACGCTATACTACCTGTCCGTGAATAGTACACACCTCCGACTCGGTCCGGGGGAACTGCCTGGACCCATACAATCGATTACGAGCGTGTCAGCTCAGCCATTAAGTCGTAGAGAGCGACGACAAGGTGACAGGACATTATTATACCGAGACTGGAGGAGGCTGACCATCTTGTCCCATACACCAACGTCGTCCCCCTTGATTTTCCTCTACCCACCCCTTCCTTCTCCACCCCCTTATCAGCGATTCGCGCTCATAGTAGGAGACTAGCTACGACCACCGAGACTACAGTCCCAACCGCCAGTGCCTTAGGTGAGATCGCACCAGCCCCGATGGTTGTCGAGTCGCTAGTTGACACCGGCGTGCTCGGGGACGCCGTGGCGGGAGGCGCCGTAGGCGTCGACGATGCGCTGCAGGGCGACGACAGCGAGACGCTGCTAGAAGTGCTAGGACTGCTGGAAGCGCTGGAAGTGGTAGAAGTGCTAGACGGCGGCGGCACTGAGACTGCGGCGGCACCTGTGTTAGACGTGATTCCCACGGAGGGCTTCAGGGTTCCGGCTGTGAATTTACCTGTCACGGTGGGGCATGGAGTCGTTGTCCCGCTCGTCGACGGCGGCACCGTCCCACAGTTGAAGCCGGGACAAGAGCCGTACGTGTTGCTTACCACCGGCGGCGTAAAGGATACGGAGGTAGAGAATGTCGTGGAGGTGCTGCCACACTGAGATAGGGATTGCGTAACAGTCTTGGTGGTGGTCTCGGTGACGGTCTCGGCGGCGGGACCGGAGGGGGGACTCCCGTACGAATAGCCACCCTGTGCTTCCACGCGAGAGGCCAGCAGGCAAGCCAGAGACAGGAACCTACGCACGGCCATGCTGAACGAGCGACTGCGGTGAAGACGAAGCGGTGCGGAGCTGAGACGAGCCGAAGAGAAGTGCGATTTGGGAGAACTAAGCAGCGGGGAGACGAGACGGTGTCAGTCTCGGCTTCTTCCCTGCTTTTTAAACGTCTACGAGGGGACTCGAGCCTAGCCTGTCCTACGGGACCACTTTCTAGGCAAGACAATGGCCGAATTCGTGAGAGGATTCCATTCTCGACGGCAGTTGGATCCAGTGACACGGGCAGAGGAGATGCCTAACCCGAGATGGACGTCAATGGACGTGTTTGCCCCTAACACGGCCGAGTTCGCGTCGCACGGCGAGGGCAGAGATTGAAAGCTGTACGAGGTATGACCTGGGCCAACAATGAAACGGGCGGGAAGCCGAGAGATTGCGTCAGGGCGCGCTGCTGCTGCTGCTGCTGCCTGCTAGATCTCGACGTGGCCGCCCTCTCATCGCAGTCATGGCGTAGCGAGTAGTTCGTGGAATCCCGCAGCGGCACGCGGCATCTCACAGGTATAGGGCCGCCGAGATTGGGCAACTTCGCCAACGCGAGATTCCCGCCGGTGCTCCCGCGGCCCACCTCCCCCCAACCACCCCGTCTCGCTACGGAGGGGCTCGAGGGGAGGGTGTCGGGCGTGGACGCCCCGACAGGGCGCTGTTCACAGAGAGTAGTGACTGCTAGTAGACGTACCCGTGATGGAAAAGGGATAGCGATGAGCGAAAAGATCCTTACACAGCCCGGCGGCCCTCAGGGCGAGACAGCGGTGGGTGGTGTGACTCAACGCCATTTCTCTCGACGGACGTTGCCCGAAATTATCGTGTGTCTCGCTGCATCCCGCCCGTCTCTCGTAGTAGCGGTGAGATATATCTTGCAACCTCCTTAATAACCTGTTCTACCATCTCGAGGGAACCGCGATATGTCCAACTATCCGACGGATAGATATTCAATAGACACCTAAGGTAGGTAGATGCTCGATTGTGCAAGATGCATCTTTTTTCTGTCTATGCGCATTTATATATACTGATGACTGCATGGCCCTGCTTACCGGGGCGCCCGATTGCACTGCTGCGTTACCTGGGCAAGTAAGTTACTAGGTTATTGAAAATACCTGTTTGGAGATCGATGCCCCTTTCTCAGCACCATCGCGTTGAACGGATATCTACATATTCACGTATGCGCTTCTTCACTTGGGCGTCATCACCTAACCCATTATTACCAACCCTCCTCCAGCTTCTCCCCCTTCAACTAATTATCACCACCCCCATTGCAGAAATTGCCGGCTACTCCCTTTCGGCATCTTGACGCGGCCCCAAACACGGCTCCCCTATTATCTATATAGATATACCTACCACCCTATATACGTATTAGTACACTTATACCCACGTATTCTTGACCCATTGGGTCATCGTCCACCAATCGCTTCCCCCCTCCAACCCCCCTCTCTTTCACACACACACACCCCCAAAGAGATATCGTAATACTCGAGCTCGCGTCTGTTGGGATGGGCTGTGGGCCATGACGCCGGACGAAGTCGAAGCGCTCTTCCAGAGCGTCCCCGGGGATGACGGGCGACGCACCGAAGCCCTCGAGCCGGTTGCGAGGACCGCTCGGGAGCTACGGGAGGCCCAGTCCCCGGAACTCGACCTCTTGGCGGAGAAGATCGGGAACGGGAGCCGACAAGGTAAAGTAGAACCAGCAAAAAAAGCATTCAACTTTGTCGGCGTACATACTCGGCGTTACATGGTATTCATCCGCTTATGTTCGATTGCCGAGCCTGGCTGACCTCGCTCACCATCTTACAGAGCCGTGGAGGGTGGCGCTCGGGGAGTCCGGGCTGTTAGACTTCTTCCTGAGCTTGGTTGGCGCCGACGAGAGCAGGCCATCTCTCCTCACCCATGCCCTTAGGATTATCGGCAACTCCTGCGCCGATAAAGGTGCGCATCCTCTGCCCTCTCGCCCCCTCCCCCTTTTATTCGCGGTCCCCCAAACGCGGACTTACTAGTAAGCGTAGACGAGAACCGACGACGGGTAGTCGAGTCGGGTCGTCTGCCTGGCATCGTTGCGCTGCTTAAAGAGGATACTTCCCTCCTTCCCTTCGCCATCCCCGTCTTGTACAATATCTGTGTGGACTATGGTAAGACATGAGAAACCTCCTCCTCCTGACTAGAACACAACCTTCTGAACACAACACGGCCAACCAGAACCCGCACAGATCGCCGCATATAAAGCCGGCGTAAACCCTAGCCTAGTTGGCCTCCTCGTGAGCCCTCGGCTTGAGAAGGTATCGGCTTCCTTAGGTATTATCTATAAGCTGCTAAGTTTAGTAGCGGGTCAAGGTAAGATCTCCCCCCTTTCTCTTTTACGCCCACGCGGTCCTATCTGCCCGCTCTGTCTGACGAGCGTGAAGAGCCTGAGGCCGACCTTGTACACCCTGCTACGCCTGCCATTATCCTCGACCTCGTTACGAACCCGACGGTACCGATTGAGCTCGAGGACTTCCTCGGGCTGTCGTCCGTGGCGTTGGCGTACCTCTCCCACGAGCAGTTCCAGGAGAACTTCCTCGCGACGCCGGGTGCTGTCGGTCTCTTCTTCCAGGCCTTCTCTAAGACCTGCGAGGACTCGGATGCCCCGCGGACCAACGGCGACGGTGACGGCGATGAGGATAGGGCGCAGCTCGTTGAGCTGCTGTCAGCCTTCACGAAAACTCTCGCCGACCTGTCCGCCAACCCCCGGTTCGTCTCTCTGTGCCCGCTGGACGGCCCCGAGGCCGAGACGCTGCGGCGCTGGATCCTGAGCCCCCACGCCCCCCTCCAGAGCGCGGCCTGCCTAGCCCTCGGGAACATCGCCCGCTCCGACACTACGAGCGTCGCCCTGGTACGGGACTTGTCGACGCACAAATCCCTCATAGCGATCCTCTCGTCGGACCCGGCCGCCGTGGACGTCCAGGTGCTGCACTCGGCCCTCAGCTTCCTGAAGAACCTGTCGATCCCGGCGGATAACAAGGCCCTCATCGGCGACGCCGGGCTCTTCGCGCCCGACGTCCTGCCCCGCGTCTGGGACCTCGAGACGCAGCCGCAGATCCAGTTCGACGCCGTGTCGCTCGCGCGCCTCCTCCTCGTCGGCTGCGCCGCCAACGCGCGGCGCATCCTCGCCGCCGAAGCGCCCTCGCCCTCGCCAACCGGCACCCGGACGCTCCTGCACCGGCTGCTGGAGCTGCACCGGAAGGCGGACCAGGAGCCCATCAAGATGGAGACGGCCCGCGCCGCCGCCAACATCTGCCGGCTGCTGCACTCCGGGGGGGCCGTCGGCCCCGCGCTCCTCGCCGACCCGTCGTCGCCCCCGGCGCCCGACGAGGCGCAGGCGCTGCTGAGCGGCTTCTACGCGCGGTACCCGGCGCTGCCGGACGCTCTGCTCTCCCTCGGCCTGCAGGCCAAGTTCCCCGTGCTCCGGTCCGAGCTCTGGTTCGTGCTCGCGCTGATGGTGCGCTCGGCGGAGGGGGGCGCTGCCGCCGCGGCCGTCGCGCGCGCGCTGCAGCGCCACCCCGAAGTCGTGCGCCTGCTCGCCGAGACCGTCACCGGCGAGAAGCCCCCCGCCGCCGCGGCGGAGGAGGCGGAGGCGGCGGGCCACCCGGCAGCCGCTCCCGGACCCGGACCGGCGCCGGATCTCTCGGCGGCGATAGGCGGGCTGGGCCCGCTCGAGCCGCAGCAAGCGGACCCGGCCCGGGCAGCGGCCATGGCCAAGGTGGACCGGGAGAACGGGCTGGTTCTCGTGGCCGAGCTGCTGAAGCGGTGCCCCGACGAGCTCTCCCCCGCGTCGAGGGACACGCTCAGCCGCATCCTGGCGGCCGGCGGGAGCCTGGTCCTCGGTGACCGAGACAATGGCAAGGACAAGGAGTAGTAGGGCAAGGAGTAGGAGTGGAAGTGGTACAAAGTCGAAATTACGGGCAGTAATGAATGCATCAGACCTGGGCTCCTTAGACCCGTAGATTAGACGAATTCAGCTGGTCATTCGTGCGATTGAACGGTTAGCCCCCAGCAAAGACACAGATACAAGTGTTGTCAATATTTGGGGCACGATGCCTAGTATTGTCTTCCTGCCCCTTCCCGTAGCATCTGATTTCACGACCCGATCCTCTCTCCCTAACAATACGCGTCCCGTCCCCCTCGTATTAGTACGAAATAACGACACGGCACCGTCGGAGCGCAATTAGAGGGCATGTTCGTTCATTCATGTCTTTTTTGATTTCCCATTGAGAATGACCTAGAGCAAACCGGAAGATGCAATAATGCGTCGGCCTCGTTGCGTGTGTGTCGAGAGAATGGATATCACAGTTCTCTCCTAGTACACAGGGACCGCAAGCCAACCCGCCATGACCGTCCAACATCAGAACAAAAGCAGAACCCGTAAGAATGCCGTCCGGACTCCCGTGCAGACCCCCTTCAGGATTCGCCCTACGTCTATTTCTTGTTGGCCTCCGCCTCCGCCTTCTCCTTGGCCCGCTTTTCCCGTACGCCCAACAGTCTCGCGTCGCTCCTGGCCTTGCGAAGTCTCGTGTACGCGCCGCCCTCGATCGGCTTTGGCAGATCGCTCTTGCTGATCTCGGTGATAGCCTGGACCCTGGGGACGATGGGTAGGCCCGATCCGAGGCTCGAGACGGTCTTGGTGTTGGCGAGGTCGATGTCCTTGGTGTCGCCGGCCTTGGGGTGCTTGGCGCCCTTGCGGGGGAAGACGATCAGGCGAGCCTTGTAGGCCTTGAGGCGGGCGACATTGGCGGCGAGAGACTCTTCGCTGGGGTTCTGCCGGCGGTGATCGACGGCGATACCGATTGTGGGGGCTACGAGGCGGGGAATGCCGGCTTCCTGCAGTGGCGTTAGACGGGGTGTTTCTGGCCTGGACGTGGGAATTCCCCCCTAGCGAGTGTGTACCTTCAGCTCAGCGAGAGTGAAACCGCGGCCGGCGCGAAGACGGCGGTTGTACTTGATAGTCGGGCATCGGACGACGGGCCGTAGCTTGTCGACAGGTCGGGGGGCGACGGCGGCAGCCTTAGCACTGCGCGCGGCACGGCGTCGGAGCTTCTTGCTCGGCTATATTTCTCCCCATCCACCTTATCGTCAGAAAAGGAGGGAAAAAAAAAAACCACCGTCTCGCCCGTCACGTCTCTGCGTACCTGGTCGAAGTGAGTGCGGACCCGACGCTGCCAATCCTTCCGGAAGTCTGCGCGAATCTGGTCAGCACGGCGGCTCTATCGTAGCGGCCTGGGTGTGGCGTCGCCGGTGTCGAAGGGATGCGGGTGGGTCGAGGACGTACGGTTTTTCTGGATCTGGTTGTTGTGCTTGATCGCCTACAGAGTCGATGGGTGTCAGCACGCCGCCGGCTTGCCGCTGCCGTAGCAGGACGGGAGAGAGGCGTGGGATTGATGTCTGGGTGATGCCATGTGCCCGACGGGAATGGGCCCGTTGCGGAGGAGGGGTGCAGGATGCTCACCATTGTGCCGGATGTGCGACCAAGAGAGGGCGGGTGATGGGAACGAGAGAAGAAGAGGAGGAATTGGTATATTTGGGGCGAGAAGGTGGTCGAATCTCCAGGTGGGAGGCACGAGAGTATTCCAGATTTCCCAGATTTCCCTATGGCGTCTTTTGCTGGGGACGGGGAAAGACGCGGGAAAACTGATCGGGCCTACCAAAGCGTACCTTCGGCAAAATTTTGGGGAGGGCTTGAAAACCCTAGGGAGGTACCGACGTACCGCGCCGCACTTTTATGGTCGGGGGTGGGGGTGGAGCAACTGCGCCCACCTTATCTAAGCGGCGGTGTGGTGTGTGTGGCTGGGCACGCACAATTCGGCGCCGGGCAAGAGTTATTTAAGGGTTTTTAGCCAGTGTAGGTCGCAACTTCCAATCAAAAGTTGTGCCGTGAGGGTTTGGAGCTCCCACTCATTCTGCGCCTTTCGGTCATAGAACTGCACTTTCGTGCAGAGGCGTGTCAATGCCCGTGTAGCTCAATTGGTCAGAGCGTGGGACTTTTAATCCCAAGGCTGGGGGTTCGAGCCCCCCCAGGGGCGCGTCTTTTTTGTTCTTAAATCTGCTGTCCATAAATCCTGTGTCTGTACATGCGTGATGTGACGATGCCTGTATATTACTGATGTCTCCCTCTCCTCCGTATGCTTATACTCCTTTATCCTTGACCGTAGTTCTCAGTGCAGCACCGTTATTACCGCCCTCATCTCTACATAGCTTTTGATCTTCCCGTCTTCGATAGTTTTGTACAATCAATATCTGCCTAAGGTGTAGGTCGATGACGCGCAGAGATAGCAGGACAGCACCCAAAGGCGGAGGGGAAGAAGTGGGGAGACGGGAGAGGGGTCAATTGGCAACGGATTGACGAGTACATTTTCTTGCATACTTTAGGTACCTAGGTAGGTACCTCCTAAGCATGTATGTACCAGAGATGGTACCTGATCTACGAGTCCCTGATCGCTAAGAGGTACAATCCGTCGCCTGCCCCGCTACATCGTTATCCTCTCAACGACGCCCCTCCGATCATATACCCTAGAGTATGGCACCTAAGGAATCAGGCATTAAGAAAGGAGCCCTGTAATTAATGGAATTAAGGAAAAACACGTAACAGCTAACTATTCGTAAAACGCTATATTTAAACCCTTTTAATAGTTTAGTTTTTATACCTTTAATTAATTAATTAGATTTACCTTTTAACTCGTTTTACGTACCTTAAGATTAAGGTAGCGAGGCTACGAAAAAAACCGCTACTAAAACGTATAAATAACTATTTATTATAGGTAGAACGCTAGTAGTATAGCTATTAATCGATTAATAGTAATTAAAGCTATTCTTAATCTTTTTACGGCTTTACGAGCCGTCCTTAATATTCTACGATATCCTTACCGCCTATCCCAGAGTTCTCCCCGCTAGGAGAGACGAACGTCGAGCCTACTACCGACCTAAAAGCCCTTATAAGTAATCGAGTTACCTACGGTAGAATAATAAACGGTACTTATAAACGCATGGAACTTTTAGCTCGTAATTTCCGTATAAAAACGACCTCCCGTATGGAAGAGCTTCGAGCTAGCCTCGAGTAAAGCTTTAAATAGCGTTTCGACGAGCGCCTCGAACCTATATAATAATAGTTATAAATAATAATAAAATATATTACGAAGCGTAAGAATCGTAAAATTAATTAATCTATAAGTTAATTACTTAAACGGGTTATTTTAAGTTTTTCTATACGAACTAAGGCTATTTAATTTACTTTACCGCCGATAAGTAAGGTCTTAAGAAATACGAGGTAATAATAGCCTAAATAGCCTAGGTCTAAGGTTATTTTATAATATAATCCTTAAGGCTTAGCTTTTATTTAAGCCTTATCTTTAATAATAAGCATAGCTTTTCTTATAACCCTTCTTATCGCTTCTTTCGTAATACTTCTTACTACTTATTTAGCCGTACCTTTAGCGGCTCCTTACGCCGTTCCGCCGGTTAGGCCGCCGCTAATAGCGGTAGTTACGTATCCGGTACCGTTTTTACCCGTATAAAAAGCCGAACCTAGCTTACGATATACGTCGGGAAGAATTAATTTTTACGGATATACGGCGCTAAGCGTAACGTTTACGCGGTAGGAGGCAAAAGTTAAGGCTTTATAACCGGGAATAATCCTCCCTAGCGAAATAATATACCTTTATTTATCGGATAATAAGAATAAAGTCGTAATACCTTTAAACCATCGACTAATATAAGCCGATAATATAACCCTTTAAAAACTTAACGATATTTAAAACCGTTTTTAAGGCGTATAGGTCCTATATAATTACTAAATATAATAAGTAAGGATCGAATTAATAAGCGACTTTTAATAGGTCGTTATCTTCGCTTAAAATTACTTACCTTCGTAAGTAACCTTCGTAAAAGGCATCCTTTAAGTACTCGTAAATAATTACGTACTTTATAGCCTAATAACGTCGCTTACGACGTTACTACCTTTCTAAAACGAAAGTATTATTAACTTCGTACGCCGCTTACGTAAGGCATTTTATAAATTACCTTACTAGGGATAGTAAATAATATAAATCCGCGAGGTAGTTTTCGATTTAATCCGTAACTACTTACTTAATATCTAGATGGTTATAAAAAACGGCCTTCCTATATAAAATACGTACGATATTATCGAACGTATATTCCGCTACGTAGGATCTCTTACGCGTAAAGCGATTAAAGCTAAAGTTTACGGTACGCTAATAATTATAATATAACTATATAGCGGCTCGGTTTCGTTTTATTAGCTAAATATATCGGTAACTACGTCATCGAAACTAAGTATAGCTTAAATACGGTAGCTAGATACCCGAGATACCTTCCTAAAGGTAATTAAGGTATCCTAGATCTCCGATCCGAGAACTGACGATCGTAAGGTCTACGTAACTAACGAAGAAAACGGTTTTATAACTAAGGTATCCGAAAGGAAAGAAAGGATACTAAGCTTACGATTATAAGTAATTATTAAAATTCCTACGCTAGTAATTAGCTAAAGGTAAAAAGGTTACGTTTAAAGGTATCTTATACGACGTAGTAACCGCCGGACGTAGTAATTTCGCTAAAAAGATTAATAATATATATAATAAGTAAAAGAATAAGGGTAAGGGTAAGGATAAAGAGAAGCGGAGTTACGTCGCCGCCGACTACGAGCCCGACGAAAAAAACAAGGACGACCGTAGTTCTAAAGATATCCTCGATAACTTAAAAATCGAGAAATAACTAAAAGGTATCTTCGAAGATTTTAAAGCTTAGAATAACCGCGTTTACTAGGTCGAAGTAAACGCCGGCGATAAATTATTACTATATAGAGATAAATTATTACGAGAAGACGCTAGAAAGCCTTATAACTTATTTTATATTAAAACGATAACGGATTAAACGATTATAATATTCTTCGACTACGGTTACGTTACTTATTATATTTCGGAAATAGTTATAATAAGCCTAAAACTATACGCGTCGAAACGACGATCCGCTATACGAAGTATTAACGGTATAGAACCTACGGTAATATATAATGCTATCGTAACGACTCGATTTAAAATACCCGACGGATAATCTAATCCCTTTACGTTATCCGCCGGAATCGTACCTAACGGTACCTTCTTAAAAGACCTTACGATCGGTAAGGATATATTTTATAAGTAAGGTATTAACTATAAATATAATATTATAAGAAATAAACTAATTACCTTAAATCGATACGATAATTATCCGATGCTTTAACCTATTAACTTATTAATTATCTATATCGTCGGAGACCTAGCCTTTACGTCGAACGAACCTATATCCGGTATTAAATAACATAAGGATACCTTAGTTTCTAACCCTATCGTTAACGAGCATTTAAAACGTTACGCTAAGGACTTCCTAGGCTTATTTAATCCTAATAAGAAACGAACGGATATCGGCGCGAAGATACAGTATTATATTAATACTAGTAATTACGCTCCCGTAAAACTACCGCTAAGAAGATATAGCTTATTATAAAAGCAAGCCTTACGAGATTTCGTTAAGAAGTATAAAGGTACGATTATACGTAAGAATAAGAGCCCGTAAGTATTTCCATTACTACTTACGCCTAAGAAGGTTCCTAATTAAACGGTAATACTAAAGAAAACCGATTAAAACGTTATCTAGCGCTTTTATTATAATTATCGTAAACTAAATAAGCGCATTAAAAAATACGCTTACCTTTTATCTAACGCTATAAACTAAGTTTATAAAGTAATAGGCTATCGATAATATACGTTTATCGATTTACTTAATAGCTTTTAATATATTTATATCGCCGACGAATATTACGAGAAAATAGCTTTCGTAATACCTTTCGGTATCTACGAATAAATTATAATATCCATAGGATTAACTAACGCTCTAGCTACCTTTTAAGCCTTTATAGAAGAAATTCTCGAGCTATTTTAAGAATTCGTAGCTAGCCTCTTAAACGACGTAACCATTTAAGGCGATACCTTAGAATAACTTAACGAAAGAGTAAGATTATTATTCGCCCGGCTCGCCTTATACGGCATAATAATTAACTCTAGAAAATTATAATTATTCGTTAGGAAAGGCGTATTCCTAAGCTTCCTTATCTTTAAGGATAATATCTAAATTAATCTAGCGAAAATCGCTACCATTAGAAATCGACCCTAACTAATAACGACTACGGAAATTAAAGCTTTTATTTACGTAATAAGCTACTTTCGGTATCTTATTAAGAACTTCGCTAGGCATTCCTTACCCCTTACGGACGTAATAAAAGGACTTAAAAACGCTCCCGTAAAGCTAAACGACGAGGCTATAATAATATAAAAGCTAATCCGCGATAAGATTATAACGGCGCCCGTAGTAAAAGATTACGATTAAAGGCGATTATTTATTATCGATACTAATTCTAGCTAAAAGGATATCGGCGCGGTATTATAATAACCTTATTTCTACGGCGATTAATAAATATTCTATCTAATAACGTATTTCTCGCGGAAACTTACGGAAACGTAGTTTCGCTACTCCGCTTAGGAGCGAAAGCTTTTATATATCTTATTAACGCTTTAATACTAGCGCTACTAGGTAAAAGAAGGAAACGTTACGGTAATTACGGATTATAAATTATTAAAGACTATTAATATTAAAACTAAGTAGCTTATCCGAATTATACGTTTTTTAAATATTATTAAGTATTATAACATTAGGATCGTTTATAGAGTTAGAAAAGCTAACGTTTTAACCGATTACTTATTAAGGCTACCTAATAATTCGGAAATACTAATAAACGGGATACTACCGTTTACGGAAGAAGCGATATCCGGAAAAGTTATTAAATATCCTTACGAGCTTACGCGTTTCGATATCTAAGCGATTTACGAATACCTTTAGCTTCGGTAGCCGCCGCCGAGCGCTCTTAGCGAGGATTAAATTAAAAAATATTTCGTAATATATTAAGGAAGACTATATAAGGTTAATTAATATACTAAAGCTTAAGGAAAGCCGCTATACGCTACCGGAATAACTAACGAAACGATAGGCCTTTAAAACGTTATCGAATACGATAAATTATTAGTAAAACTACGAGGCGTATATTACGATCGAAGGTATATTATAATAAGAGTTATCTTTAAGGAGACTTTAAGGCTATATTAATATCCCGAGATTACGCTCGCGGTATAATAAATTATTATGGAATATCCGACCTATTAGCTTATAAAAAAGCCGGATCTAACGCTACTAGACCTATAAACTATCCTACCGCTTACGCCGCTTACGAAATAAGCGATTAATTATATATTTATTAATTAATCGACGTTATTTATTACCGTCGAATACGCTACCGAATAAGTCGAAGGCGAAGTCGTACCGTTAACCGCGTTTAAAGACTATATCCCGTTATTAACTCGTATCGGCGAAACCTTCGGATATCCCCGCGAATAAATAAGTAATAACGGCGTAGCGTTTACGAGCGACGAGGCTATTTAATAACATCGTTAATATAATTCCGTCGTAAAACCTATTATACCGTTACGCCCTAAAGGTAACGGTAAGGTCGAAAAGGCTAACGGTAACGTTAAACGTATAATACTACGAGAATATTAAACGAACCTAATAATACGAAGCCTTTTTAAGCTTTTACGTCGAGCCCTTACGATATATAATAAAACGTTAAAGCTAAACGGCTATAGTAGTTTCTTCCTTATATTCGGTACGTAGCCTTTATAAAAGTAATAATAAGTAAAATTCGCCGAATACGTTCGCGAAGCGATAAAAAAAGAGGAGCTATAGTTCGTATAATAACTAGCGAAATAATACGAAGCGCCGATGGCTCGAAGTTACTATAATAACCTAAAAGTATCGCGAGATTAAATACGAGCCTACCTATAAAAAAAGAAAGGACTTATTAGGACTTACGTTCCGGGAAACTAGGTATTAAGAGTTCGTTAAAGGTTAAATAAATACGAACCTTATTACGACGGCCCGTAAGCGATCGTAAGTTATTACGCCGGTAATACGTATAGGATAAGGAGCCCCGGAGGTATCGAAATACCGAGTAAATATAACGGGACTAACCTATTTCCGGCGTACGTTAACGATAGGCATCCCGTACGTAGTTTATAATATGCTAATAAACGCCTATTAAAATAAGATCGTTAACGGTTAAAAAATTAGCTTAGGATTACGTAAAAATAATATTAATAAAGCTTAATACTAAAAATCATCGTAAGACGCGCCCGTTAAGGATTAGGAACGATCCTTTCGTAAAAGGAGGAGTAGTATAATACCTAAGGAATTAGGCATTAAGAAAAGAGCCCTATAATTAATAGAATTAAAGAAAAACACGTAACAGCTAATTATTTATAAAACGCTATATTTAAACCCTTTTAGTAGTTTAGTTTTTATACCTTTAATTAATTAACTAGGTTTACCTTTTAACTCGTTTTACGTACCTTAAGATTAAGGTAGCAAGGCTACGAAAGGAACCGCTACTAAAACGCACAAGAGTCGCTAACAGAGGTAGAAAGCAACCAAGTATCTCCCCCCCCTCCCACCTCCAAAAGCGGGCAGTTTGGAAGACGAGAAGAAAAAAAATTTCCCAGCCAACCTGAAGATGGGCTAGCTGCATATACTGCCCGTCCACATACCCTCTCGCCTTTCCTCACCTTCGGGATCGATGCCGATACAAACATACGAGCAGTTCATATTACTACGTACCTACAAGGAAAAAGGGAACAAGCTGGTGCCGATACGTACAAGGCACTAGAGATATATCCCAGTACTGGTATATCCGTGGGGAGCATGGGTATCGTTCAAACCAGAGTGAGAGCTTGGATGCCCTCGATAATTACATTCTGAAGCGATCCCTCCTATATTGCATTCCCGACAGCAAGTCGAACCGGCCGGACCCCAATACTAAGGTCGCTAGGTAGCTTCCTACCCGCCCCGGTCCTCTCCACGCCGGCGTCCCTCGCTATTATTTTCCATCTCCTGCTTTCTCGTCCCGTATCCCGCCTCAGCGCCGCCCTCTGGCCTGGTCTACCCCGAGCCTCCACCCTACGCCCAGTTGCCCGGCTCTATTTGTCCCGGCCAGAGTCCATTCATCAATTCTCCACCGGCATTCCCCCCCCTGCTGTTCCCTCTACCTGGCTTCTCTCTGTCCACCCCCTCCCGTACGCCCCCCAAGAGGAGACGACACGGGCCATATCGTTCCTCCCGGACGCCCGCAGCCATGGCCGTCGAGTACAGCCCGCGGACGCGGAGCGTCGCCGACGCCACACGCTTCACCTCTAACACGCTGCACGCCCACTCCAAAGCCCCGCTCGCATCCCCCCAGTCGGCCGGTTCGCCCTCCTCCTCCTCTTCCTCCTCCCACCGAGCCTCCCCGAGCTCCGGGTCGTCCCCGAGCCGCGCCCCCGGCGCTCCTCGCCCGTCGTCGTCCACGGCCTCGTCGACAGCATCCGAGACCATAGAGGAGCGCGTGCGCCGCCTGAGAGCGGCGCACCTCGCTGCGCGGAGACACGACGTGTCGCGGTTCGACCGTCTCTTGAATGCGTCGAGAAGGTACTTCGATGCTGCCCACAAGTTCACTGTCGCAGGCTTGGTCGGGTTCAGCGGTACAGCCTCCCTACCCCATGCTTTTTTTTTTTCCCTTTTCTCTTTCTCTTGACCTGTCTAATTTTAACCTACCTATATCTATCTACCCGACATGTCAATTTCTCGGCCACTAATCGTCAGTAGGCCTCGCCGTCTTCGTTACCGTCTACGCCGCCGGCGACATGATGATTTACAACCATAAGCGACGAGCCGAGTTCTTCGCCCTGCAAAAACAGTACAAGGCCGACAGCCTCGAGGCCGCGCGCCTCGCCTACATGACGGGCCGCGCCACCGAGGAGCAGATCACCCTGGTGGAGGAAGCCGAGGCCAAGGCCCGCGAGGCGGGCCTGAGCCTGCCGCCGCTATTATCGGCACCGAGGCCTATGGCCCCAGAGGCGGGAGCGGAGCTGCGCGCCGCGGAGGAGGACGCGAGGGAGAGCGAGGTCGAACCATCGAAGAAAAAGGGGTTCGCCGCGTGGCTATTTAGCGGTCTGAAGAAGGAAGAGACGGCCGAGGAGTCTCTCGGCTTCGCCAAGACGATCGACGAGTCGCAGCAGGTACTGAAGGACAAGGCGAAGGAGGCATTCGAACGGGAGCGCGAGAACCAGAGACAGGGGGGGGCGTTGGACCAGGTCGGCCTAGACGAGAAGTCGAGCGGCGGCGGCGAAACTAAGAAAACGGGATGGTGGTGAGGGCGAGAAGACGAAACAGGCGTAAACACGGCGAGAATGAATTTACGACGAAGGAAGTTGAAAATCCGCACCGCCAAGGATCGGGTAGGGGGCGATGACGATGACGTGACAAGTTCACGACGAGCCAACAAGCTACACCCCTCGGAACCACGCATTTACATGTACATACGGGCTACCATAATGTTCGAAAACTAGCAGATGTGCACGAATCTCTACTAGAAAAGTGGAGGAGGATACGAGACTGCTGTACTATTAGTTGTAGTAGACGGGCGGAGCATCAGGCTCGGCGTACTAGACCCTCGTGAATCAAGTATCATCGCAATTGTGTCCCGTCTCTACCACGGCCCACGACTCCTCCGGTTCCGCTCGAGACGACACACACACACACACACGGGCAGGCCCTTAGTCGACCTCCCATTAAACCCCAGGGGTCTAGGGTCGGTTGATGACCACGGGTAAACCGCTCGGGCGACAACCCTTACCAGCAGCAGCAATTGCTGTGGCAAAATACGTAGTACCAACGATAGCGTACAGGAAATTTCGATATGCTGAAATGAGGCCCGCAATTTGGTGAGTTACGCCCCGGCCGATCCCTCCCCAAGACGCCATAGACAAGCACGACTCCTGACATAGGGAAACAAAGTATACAAAGAGAAAACGGATGCTAGTCAACCACACGCTCCTCCGCGCAGCTGATAGCCCAGAGCTAACGACCGCAAGCGATAATGACCGTGTTGCGCGAGTGTCCGAAAAAAAAAAGGAGAAAGGGAGAGGAGAGAGGGAAATGGAGAGGTATATCGCGAACGTATTCAATGTACGTCAGGGGGAAGCCCCATAGCTTAACGCTACAATGCTGCGTCGGTGCTCGAACCTGTACATTCTCTCCAGACCACCTTTCGGACACGAATTGGAACACAAACTGGATTAGCAAATCCAAGCGTCCGAGAAAGGCGGGTGCTCGACCTGCCATAAGTTCGGCCCACTTGCAAACCTCGGCATCGTCTCTGACGCAACCAACGCTCATCCATCCGAGCTCGTAAGCAATCGATAGAGGCGTCCCGTCGCCTCCATGTTAGGAGATGATAATATGATTGAAGTGGCCCGGAATCTTCATCCGACACTTCTCGCAGTCAGCTCGGTAACCTATACTGAATGACCTCTTCATGCCGGGTTGGAGGGTCCATGAATTGAGCGTGTGTTTGCTGCGCGAATGGCCGAATTTGCCTCTGAGCGAGGGCGTCGCGGGAGCGGACGCGGTGGAGGTGGATGTGGGGTCGGTATCCATCATGCCAGTGTCGCCGTCGGCAGCCGGCGGAAGGGTCTGAATATTAGGGTGGATGGCCATGGCGTGGGGGGTTGGTAGGCGAGGCGTCTGAAGATGAGAGCTTGCGGGCAATCGTGAGTCCAGCACCATGCCCGGGCTGGTAGGCGTTTCCTCGCCGCCGCTCTCGCTAATCGGTGACGGAAGGCGTCGGTTCTGGACCATGGACCATTCGGCGCCGCCCAGCGACCGAGGGACGGAAGAGTCATCGTGTTGGAGCGGGAATGAGTGGCCGCCGGCGGCGAAGCCGACGCCATCCTCCAACACGGCAGCGACGGTGGACCGATCTCCGGGATGTATCGTGTGGTTAATGGGACCCCAGCTACATCCACGTACTTGAGCGGCGAAGGTGCAGTGAATAGGGGTGGGCATTCGTCCGGTAACGCTAAGGTCGACGCGATCGGGCCGGAGAGCGTCGGGCGCGGGATACTGAGGCGAAGAGTCCATCGTCATGTCCGTGTCCCGGTCCACATCCATAGCTGGACTCGGTTGTTGCTGGTATTGCAGGTCTTCCGAGTCGGAATCGGTCGGAGTGATGGTCGTGGGAGCGGCGACAGTGACGGCGCCAACGTGAGGGAACCGCGGGGGACCCGGCCACCGTTTCTGTGCGGGAGAGGTGCGTAGGGGGAGAGACTGGAGGCGTTTCTGTTGGCGAGGTCGGTGCGTTAGCTAGATGGTCGCGTACGGCAAGGGAATGCGGGCGGAGGAGGGTGTAGATCGGTATCACTAACACTGCGATGTTCGGTGAAGCCCAGACTACCGCTCATGGCTTCTCTCGTGCCAATCTGGCCATTTCCTTCTCCGTCGTCCTCCCTCACCCTCTTCCGGGTCAACTCGGGCCAATGTGAATCGAACATGTCTATGATTGGGAATCACGGGGGTAGGGGGGGGTGTGTAAGGCTCGATAGAAGCTCGGTGGAGAGGAGAGGTTGCGAGAATTAGTAGGGTGGCTGGCAAAAAGTGGCGGTAGGTAACAACGATAACGACGACGAGGAGAATTACGATGATTATGGCGATAAATATGGTGAGGAGAAGGATGATGCTGACGACACCGGCAAGGGCAATGCAGCAGTGCCAATCACTCAATTACGAAAGGAGAAAGATAGGCAGCTCGGCCTAGCAGGAAGAGGCCATAGTGTAATGTTGTTAAGGTACCTATATATTGCACAGGACTGGTAATAGGCCTTCTCTCTCTCTGCGAGGGTGGAGGAGGAGGAGGCGGCGGCGGCTTTTGGCGGGGAAAAGAAATGACTAGATGGCGAGGAATTGGCTCTTGGCTGCTGCAGCCTGCTGCTGCTTGGAATGGGAATGAAAATGGCTGGCGAAGGGTGTGGCTGGTTGCAGGGCGTTCCCCCGTCGTCGATCGATCCGCAGCCGCTCAAAGGAATCGCGCGGATAAGAGACGGGGAGGCCGACGGAGGACTTCAGAAGGCGTCCCGGGGAGAGAGGCAGGGGATCAAGCGGGAGAGGGTAAAAGGGGGCTGGGGGGAGAGGAGGGACGGCGGAGATGAGCAGAGGATTAAACGAAATAAACAAAGAAATAACGAGCAGAAGATGGACACGGCAGAAGAGGTTAATATGATGGAATGGGAAGAAGAAAAAAAAAAGAGGTAGGGAAGGACAGAATAAAAGGAGACTCTCGCTCGCACATTTCAGGACTCGACGATGAAGAGGTGGCGGCGAGAGGGAGAGAGAGGGAGAGAGGGAGAGGGAGGGAGGGATGTACCGAATTACAGGTACCTAGGTAGGTACCGGATGAGCTAACATAGCGAAGACTACCAAGTAGCGCTGTTAGGAATCGAACCTATCCTTCGTTAAGTAACCTACGGATCTGTACCTACCCACGTTAGAGGTACCTAATATTCCAATTGCCTCCATTTACCAGTGGGTAAATTCCAGAGGTACCTAAGGTACCTACCCAACCTGCCAATATGAATATCTCCTTAGGTACCTTACCTACCTATGTATTTAAGGTAGGTACCTCTTGCAATGGTGCACACGCAATCCATAAACCTGCTGTCTGCCCGTCTGCCTACTACTCGTAGCGGTATTCAATTAGGTACCTCCTACAGTAGGATGACGAAGAGGTAGGAGGTAGGTATCGAACCCAAGGTGCCTAGAATCGGAGCGAGAACGAAGCGAGAATGGAGCTCGGAGAATGCCTCTGCCTTCTTCCACGGCCTCTCGCATCCACATCTCTTAAGACCTGATCGTCGCAGCCGATGCTGTAGTGCAACACACTTGCGCAAAGAATCTCTTGACCGCACGTTTCAGCTTTGCTTCACGGCCAGCCGGGTCTTGCTGGATCTTGCCGGGTCTGGCACCATCCATCTGAGGAGCCTACGTAATGCTACTCATCACCCAGTATCTTCTCGAGGAGATATCAAAGAGACGCTTTCCAGTCAAGCCAGCCTACCTCACCAAGTTCACGGCGAACCCATAGCAATACCTACTATACCTAGTACCCAACATGCCTAGGCACCCGAGGTAGACACCCAGTCCCCCTTCTGCTAATCTCACCTTCTGCCATTTCATGACCTCACCCATCGCTTCGTGCAGCCTCTAGCTATATATATATGCAGCCTTACTGTGTGACCTGTCTCACATAGCCGGTGGAGAATAAGGTCATGCCGCCGGTATGCTCACACGACGTCTTAGGTGGTAGGTATTCTCTACTGGCTGAGCCTACGCGGCTTGTATTTATAGGGCCTGGTCGAGGGCGTGAGAATGGATCACCCCCTCCCCCTTCCTTTTCTTACTCTATTACTTCTGGGCACTACCTATAGATACCCACGCCCCCCCCCCCCCTCTCCTCAGCCGGAAACCTCGACGCCAGTATGACGCCCGCACCGTAGCCGTCGCTGCCCTTCCGTTTGCCTAATGAGAACCGGCGACCCATCGATTCGGGCTGACTCACGTCGTGGTGGTGGTGGTGGTGGTGGTGGTGGTGGCGGTGGTGGCGTTCGCTCCGAAGATGCCGAGCGGGAATTTGTCAGCGATGGCCTGGTACCCGGCGACGTTAGGATGGAGGTGGTCGCCGCCGTCGTACTGGGACGCCAGGTTGGCCGCGTTCGAAGGGTTGGCTAGAATCTTCGCGAAGTCGACGGCCGCGTCGAAACTACCCTCGCCCCCGCCCATGATCCACTGGTTCACCCTCTGCCGCGTCTGATCCCGGGTCGGGTGGCTGTAGCTCTGCCCGCTCCCGCCAAACGGCGTAATGGTAGCCCCGATCACGGTCAGGCCGGCTGCCTTCGCGTCGCTGGCGATAGTCTTGAAGGCCGAGATTAGACTATTGCCGATGCGCGTCTGCGATCCCGAATCCGTAGAACCTCCACCGATATCGTTCACACCTTCGAAGATGAGAGCGTACTTGGCGCCGGCGGTGGTGAGGAGATCTCGCTTATAGCGCTGCATGAGGGGCGGACCGAGCCCGCCCGTCAAGACCGTGTTGCCGCCTGCTGCCTGATTGCACACAGCAATATTGGTAATCCCTTCTTCCTGCATCCTAGCCAGGAGAAGGTCGGGCCACCTGAGGATTGGTCAGCGAGACTGACCTTACCAACTACAGGGTGGAAGCCTGGCTGCGCCTACCTATTGTTGGCGTCGTCTGTGCTTCCACGTCCATCGGTGATGCTGTCGCCGAGAATCACCAAGGCGGTGGTCGACTTCGGGACCCAGGCCTCGACGGCAGTGAGGAAATACCAATGCACGGTGCTCGCCCCCGTGACCGTCGAAGCGTTCACGCGGTTTCCTTGCTGCATCCACGACGTTGTCCGGCTTCCCGGGTGCCCGGTGATGCTGCTCCCGGACTGACCGGGTTGCGAGTACAGGCTGACGGTGATAGTGGACTGGGGGTCGACTTTGAAGTCGACGGGATCCGTGTAGGCAACCTGGCCCCTAGGAACGGTGACCGAGGTAGAGCCGTTGAAAGTGAGGCCCCTCAGGGTTGCGGTGTCGATGCCGTTGACACCAGACTTGCCCCCGGTCGGGAAGGCTACCGAGGCTCCCGTGATGGGCAGATCGCTGCCACCGAAGGTGTTCGAGATCTGAAAGCGAAGCCTCTCGGCGCCGATGGATAGATGGAGCGTTTGGCGCAGGGTGGCGTCTCTGAATGCAGCCGAGCCCGACTACATTTCACGTTTAGAGCCCGGAATAGATACTCAACAGATCCGCGTCCCGGCGGACGAGAGAGGAGGGGAACACAACGTACGAACGGGGACGGCGGCATATTATTCGGTTCCACCAACTGCGGCATGGACGTCCATGTCGCTACCCAATGCGAATCTTCCTCCTGGCGCACATTACACGCGGGTCGTGCAGCGGCGTATAATGCAAACCACGACCACCAGATAGCTGCGAGTGTGAGCCTGAAGCTGAGGCCTCTCAGCGCGTTGGACGACATGGTTCCTGTACCGACGACAACAGGTGAAGGCCATAAAAGAGCCGGGTACCCAGGCGGAGGCGGGCTCTAGGAGGCATGGCGGCAGCCTCGATACTTATTGGCATTGCGAAAGCGGCACGGAGGCGGCTGAGAGAGGGAAGATGGGTAAGATGGCGGACACTCTGCTTCCGCGGCTATATTGGCCTGTCGGCGGGCCGCCATTTAGCCGCAGGGCGGCACAGGGCGGGTTCGTAACCACCCCCAATCACCCAGGACCGTCGCACTCGCCCAATCTAGTGGATGATATATGAGGGGAGCCCTACAGCGACCCGGAGGCCACGGGCGTACCGTGCCTACTTCGAGTCCGAAGCGGCGATGCACGCAGGGCGTAGAGAGCCCTTATTGGTAGGCATCTGCACACGCGGGCGCCCACGCGCGTTCTCTTGCGCCAACGCATAGAAAGAACTCGATCTGGACACGCTTAAGCGGTAGTTGACTGGTCGCCCACGATGAACGCAGAGGGGGAGGTAGGCGGTTTGGAGGTTGTAGTATGACATCCCCCCCTCCGCGCTTATCCATACGGAAACGCATGCACGGCACGAAGGCTCCCCATAAGAGGAGGCTGGAAGTAGTCACATAAACGGCACGGCCAACCCCCGGGCGCGGGGGATTCCGAACATTACCTAGCGACTCGAGCTTCGCTAGTGGAGCTACAGCTACAGGAGAGGCACGAACATCTGCGAAGAGCCAGTGACGAAGTAGAGATCATCGACGAGCGCGGCGTCTGACACGGCGGTGGGGTATTTCCCCTCTCCCGCCTGCTTCCCCTTTTTCTTCTCGCTTATTACTTACCTATCAACTGTTCCTGGCTCTCTTTCTCGTCATTTTCCCAGACCCGCGTTACTCGACGCATCGAGTACGGGCCCCGCCTGTCTGTCCATGCTGCCAGCTTGCGTCCAGCACAGGCCGCCTCTCTGCGCAGTCTCGAGGGGGTGCCGATGATAACGAGGCGGCGGGCGAAGTGGGAGGAGGCGGCGGAGGCGTTGGCGCGAGTGTATGGGAGGGAAAAGAGGCCTAGAAGCGATGCAAAAAAATGAGGGAGGTGATGTGAGAGAGGATGAGCATGACTTGGGCAAAGCTGACGGCAGGCACCTCTCCCATCGGAGGGTGCTCATGTAGACGTTATGTACCTGTATTGTGCCTAGGAGAAAGAGGTACTTCCTGTATGCAATTGGGACTACAGCATTGGCTCCTTGTGTCCCATGTAGCGATGATGTACTACTGCAAGTATCTCACGTAACACCTTCGTAGTATATACCCCCTCTCTTGGCCCCTCTCAGGCACCTAAGGTGTCCATACGTAGGTACATTGCATTTACTTGCCTACCTAGGTAGGCACTTTAGGTACCTGTTAGGGACCCCTAACGCCGGCTACGATCTCCCGGTTTAGTTAGCGTGCAACATCTGCCCCCCTGCACAGTTGAGGTATTGTACCTTAAGAGGTACCTCCTCGTAGGTACCTACACTTACCTTAGGTACCTAGCCTGCCTTGTACTATACCCAGCAGTGGTACCTATCATGCGTTGGCAGCGACATGGCCTTTGACGTTGGCGGTATTCGACTTTGATCGGCGGCGATTTTTTGCCCTCCGCTTTGTCTAACCTCACTCTGAAGACGTCCGCATATAAAGGTTCACGAATATCCCACGACAAAATTCCCGGCTGGCACGGCCTAATCCCAAGCCAATCTGCCCAGCTCGGTCGGCTCTCGTCAACTTCGCCCTCGGGGGAGAAGCGGCAAGCATACCTACCTAGTGCTGCTCGGCAACGAGTTCTCGGAGAGCCCAGGAACCACCAACCAGGAAACCAGGAGGAGCATCGGGCCGTTGCATCGAGAGGCTCGCCACCTTAGCAAATAGGGAAAAACCTGCAAACTTCCTCGCTCTCATCTTCCTCTCCCTTCTCCCCCCCCCCTTTTGTTGCTATTCCGCTCTTCCTATCCTCCTCCTCCCCTGTCCTCCCTACCGGAGACGAGATCGGCTTGGCAGTCTGACTCATCTCGACCGTCGAGTTATCCCCGTTGCTCGAGGCCACCAACCGCGACGGCGCCGACATCTGGCATCACGCATCTATCCGCCGCGGCCCGGATCCTGAGTAGCAAACGCCCACTGCTACGACTGTCTACAGTTAGCCGCTTGCCTACTCGCCGTCGGTTGGCTGCCTGTGCTCCGTTACAGATCCTCGATTACCCTACCCGTCCGCCCGCCCTAGGTATCGATATGCCAGGTATCAACATGGCGCCCCTCGTGGCCGACGACATGAGAGGTATGTGAGGCCGCCAGACCACTCGTTGTCGTACACCCCGGTTCTCTGTCTACCTCTCTTCTTCATTTTACGTTGTTCTCGTTTTTTTTTTCTCAGTGGGACCTAGATTGTGAATGCCTTCTCTCAGCCTGTTCCTCTTTCTTATACCCTTTCTATCTGCTCGGTCCTATCTACCTGCAAGCGTATACCATCGTAGGTCGTAAGGCGGCAAAACCGGACAAGAATGCTGATGTACTTGGACACGGCAGTCCTGGGTCAGGACCCTCTCATCCCACCAGCATTGCTCATCTCCGAGATCCCCATGACCGATGCTTCATTGCAGACTGTCGTCAAGGGCCGCAGAGACGCCGTTGCCATCATCATGGGCCGCAATGACCGTCTCTTGGTTGTCGTGGGTCCCTGCTCCATCCATGACCCGGCCATGGCCCACGAGTACGCTCAGCGCCTCCATGAGCTGTCGGAGAAGCTGTCGGACGATTTATGTATCATCATGCGTGCTTACCTCGAGAAGCCGCGGACCACTGTCGGCTGGAAAGGTCTCATTAACGACCCCGATATCGACAATAGCTTCAAGATCAACAAGGGCCTCCGCTTGTCACGGCAGATGTTCAGCGATCTGACCAATTCGGGTATCCCTATCGCCAGCGAGATGCTAGATACCATATCCCCTCAGTTCCTAGCGGACTTCATCTCCGTCGGAGCCATTGGCGCCCGCACCACGGAATCTCAGCTACACCGTGAGTTGGCCTCGGGCCTCTCTTTTCCCATCGGCTTCAAGAACGGCACCGACGGGAACCTGGGTGTTGCCATTGATGCCATCGGAGCCGCAGCTTCCAAGCATCACTTCATGGGCGTGACCAAGCAAGGACTGGCGGCCATCACGAGGACCAAGGGCAACGAACACGGGTTCGTCATCCTCAGGGGCGGCACCAAGGGCCCCAACTACGACAAGGAGAGTATCCAGGCCGCCAAAGACACATTGACGAGGAAGGGGCAGAAGATGGCCATCATGGTCGACTGTTCGCACGGTAAGCCGCGTTCTCGCCGCGGGATGATGCGTTCTACCCCTCGCTGATCACGTCGTAGGAAATTCCAACAAGGACCACCGGAACCAACCCAAGGTTGCTAGGGTCGTCGGCGACCAGGTGAGGGAGGGCGAAAAGGCCATCATCGGCCTTATGATCGAGTCCAACATCAATGAGGGAAACCAAAAGGTTCCTCTCGAGGGCCCATCTGGCCTGAGGAAGGGTGTGAGCATCACAGATGCCTGCATCGACTGGGTGACGACCGTTGAGGTCCTCGAAGACCTGGCAGCGGCGGTCCGGGCACGAAGGGAGAAGAATGGAGTGCCCAATACTAACAACGCAGAGCCCAAGGCAACTCTCATCGAGGAAGAGTAGGCTGCTAGACCGAAGTGCCGGACTCGGTAAAATTCATTTACCCGCGAGTTTCATGAGAGGGTGGCATTGGCTCTAGAATGAAGGCGTTGGGAGGTAGAAAAGCAGCACCTGAGCCCGTAGGCAAGGGTAACGCGGTGCTGTAGGCGTATGGCGTCCGAGGTTCCTTTCGATCCGCGGGTAGCCATAGGGGTTAGCATCGGGGGAGGGGAGGGGGGTCAAAAAAAAGGAGAGACGAGGTAGAACAAGAAGCGGGGATTCGTGGCGTTTGGTTGTGATCTTAAAAGTCCGCCTTCATATGGGGCGAGTTCCTGCGTGTACCCACCACGGTCTAGAAATCTACGTGGGAAATAAAACTCTTAGAACCCGGGAGCTGAAAATATAGATCGATTTCGAGATTCAAGGATACCCGACCTTAACGCCATTTGCGGCCCCAGTGTCCCCGCTCCAAAGTGATTCCGTATCCCGTGCCCGCGTCTACCCGGGTCCCTTTAGGCGCCATTACGGCCAATCGGCAAGTATCCACGTCTACCCAAGGGAGCCCCTGGTCTCGTCGCGCCTCTGACGGCCGAGGTACCCTTCCTGCCGTCGCGCATCTCGATGACCCTCTTGGCGGCAGCCCATCCCAGCAGACCGGTGGTGCCGAGAATGAAGCCCCAAACAATGACCTGGTCTTTGCGGCTGTCGCGCTGGAAGCACATCGCGACCACGTCGTTCTCCTCGGCGTCCTTGCAGATGGGAAGGTGCTGCGATAGGCAGAAGGCTCGCGTGCATTGGGTGCAGGACGCGGAGGCGGCGCGCTTCCCTAGAGAGAGCGAACGTAGCGGCGGCGGACCCTCGGCGCGGGGGCTGGAGGCCGAGCCGGGGATGGCGCTGGCGAAGGACGAAGGGGCATCGCCTTGGGGACCGAGCTGGATGAGGGTACTATTCTTGAAGCAGGTGCATTTGCAGAAAGTCGGCGCGGCTGCAGGCGACAGTGCCAGAAGAGCGTGAGCTAGACGAGCTTCGAGCGAGCGCGAGGATATAGGGACGGACATCCGAGGACCATTGAGAGGATGGGGGGGGGGGGGGGGGTAGGCTAGTTTTGGCTTACAGGCTGCGGCGTAGGAGACGATGATCCCCACCAAGAGGAGGAGAGAGATGTAGAGTCGCATCGTGAAGGTATAGGCTGCGACGGGTCTCACATAGGCGTGCACACCCTCACGCCCGTATACACGTGTGTGGGTGTATCTCGATAGTAGGGAGAATGGGAGAGGGAAGGACTGGCTGTCCACGGCAGATACCCACGAGGACCTGGGTACGACGATTACGCTTGGCCAGCAGCCGTGGCTACAGCGGTGAAGGGTCGGACGCCGGGCAGTTTAAGGAGTCGGGCATCGGTAAGGGCAAGCAAGGCGAGGAGGCGGAGTTGAAGACGGGAGGAGGTGTTCGATTGGCGAGCCGGGAACGATAACGACGACGACGACAATTGCGGGATGCTGCTAAGGAGCCATCCAGCTTACCTAAGGCAACAATGATGCATGGTGCCATCACTTGCACCGCCACAGCCCATCCACAGCCCCCCGTCAGTGCACACCTCAGGTACCTATAGAATTACCTCTAGGCGACCTTAGGTACCTGCTGCTACACGACCTTGGGAGGTTAGGTACCTAATGTGCCAGGTACCCACCCTCCATCGCTACACGCAGCCGTTCTACAGCCCCCCTCAAAATTTGTACCTACCACAATCCCTCAATCCTAAGCCTCAACGCCGTCTTCCCCGCAAAGGGACAGGCAGGTCGGCATACAGACAGACAGAAGGAGAGAAAGACCCCTAATACCCAGCCTGTCATCAGACTGACTTCGGCGCCGAGATAGAGACCACCCGCCTCGCCCACTCTCCCGGGGCCCTCATTCACCACCATGCGACGGGTACCGCGATTGGGACGGTCGTCATGTCTACCCCCGTCGGCTTCACGACCCTCGCGCGCAGCCGCCGCACACCTGGGTGTTAAATGCTCGCCTACCTCCTCCCGCTCGCACCACACCTCGACACCGCGTCACGGGCCCGCGCCGACGAGCCTCCCGCACCCCGCCGCTCAGTTCACCCGATTCTACTCCTCCGAGAAGGACCACCACCCGCAAGGTCTTGCTCCCAGCGCAGACAGCCTCCAGGTAGAAGACCCCGCCGGTCCGGATAGCGAACCCCCGGCGGCAGCCCTAGAGGGTGCGCTTGAGGCTCAGCAGGCTCACGGGCCCTATCTTCCACCACCCGAGCGCAGCTATGCCGAGCGGCCCGACGAGGTGTCGGATACGGGGTACATGCCCGCCTTGAACGCTGAAGGCCTCAAGTCCGTGGGCGGGTTGCTGGACTGGTGGAACCGGTCGGGCAATTGGGATAAGTCTGGCGACTTTTCCGGCTTCAGACCGCGGCGCAAGGTCCTCGACCCCGCCATCATCGAGGTGTCAGTGCGCCGAGCCGTCGTAGAGGCCTTCGCGCTGATCCAAGCAGGCCGGGAGGATAAGTTGATGGCAGCTTGGCCGGCGGGAGGGCAGGAGGATCTTCAACATTCTCTCGCGGTAGGCATCGACGTTGCCGAGGGCGGCGCGGTGTCGTTAACGGGGCCGGTAAGTTCCGTGTTGGACGCTCTCAACCGCACCGCGGACGAGGTCCAGCCCACGTTGGAAGGCGCTGGGGAACCTTCGTTTGTGCCCTCGTCCGAAGAAGCGCCAAAGTACAAGAAGGCCTGGGGTCACGGTTGGAAAAAGGTTTCTCTATCAGATCCCCGGATCAGGTTCGCCGTAAGGAGCTATTGCTATTTCTACACCTGCAAGCAGGGCCGAAGACGGCCAAGGGACCGTCTTTGGAGCTAATTTCGATGCTTACTAGGTCACTAAGCGCCTTTTCCAGCTCACCGGCCAGCTCGTCCCCGATCACAGCCTCCCATCCATCACCGATGCTTGGTCGGTGCTCCGCGTGGTCCAGAAACCGCCGAAGCCCAAGACCCTCACTCAAGAGATCCAAGAGCGCCACCAGGACCTCGTCGGGCTGCCCAATGTTTCCGTTGCGACGAAGCGCGTCACCCGCGGCGACAAGGACATAGCTTTAGGGAGGTTCAAGCTCATAGAAGCCGAATTACAGAAGAGAGGCCTACCACTACTCGGCTACGGATCCGCCAGGAAGAATAAGGAGTTGTCCCGGCTCGGAGGCGGCACGTAAATGGGCAGCAGCCTACGGCCACGGCAAAACAACGTTTACCGATACTACCCGTGTATAAATATGCCAAGGTGCAGAGGCTCCTCATCGTCTGTAGATATAAACCCAAAAGCACGATGCCACACGACGGCTTGCCCCGCTTAATGACAGGCCGTATTAGACTTGGGGAGTCTGTAGAACACACGTATTATGTGCTTATTTCCTCCTTAGATCGGTAGCTCCTTTTCATGACTTGCGTTCCTTGCGACACGTCATCCTGTTAGTTTGTTCCGGAGCCCAAGACGGCGAGGGGGAAGATGGGTTTCCAGATTTCTAGCACCATTGGTACCTGATACTGGCTGATGTCTTACCTACGAGCGGCCACGGAAGGATTCCGGGGTTGTGGCCAAGGCACAAAACGGATGCCGCCCATCCAGTTGTTTCCTCAACACTGGTAACATTTATTTCGCCGCCCAACTTCACCCTCGTCGGGAGCCTTGTTTTGCAGGCCATATAAACCGGACTCCTCTTGCTCCACCCATTATCGTCACCATGGCCGGTACTCGAGCGCAACTGGCCGCCGCCCAGAAGGAGCGCCAATCGTCGGCTCCAAAAGAACAAGGTACGTGTCTCCTGAAGCGCCGAAGAGGGCGCCAGCTAACAGTAGGCAGGGACGAGACCTCTGGGCATCCGTAGGGGCATCCGCCGAAGGACGCATCAACTACAAGAGCGAGCGACATCCGAGCATACCCAACGTCGGCAGGCACGGCGTTCCAGCTTTGCTACCGTATATATGTTTATATTAAATCGTCGAATGGATCGATCCAAGACACTGGGTACGAAGCGGCCAGTCTACGTATGCGAGCACGACCGGAATCTCCTCCCTCCGAAGCGGCTTCGAACATCTCCTGAACACTCTGTCGGACATACTTCTGGCAGATTTGCGATTGGTAACATCTGCGCTAACGAACCCACTGATCCGATCGATCTCTGGGCGATGGAAGGCCGATGGCCGCGAGAGTTCTTCGAACTTGGCTTGGAGCATATACTTGCAGAAAAGAGGTCCTTTCTATCTCCTACCCGTACGCGGTCGAACTCCGCTACGTCCATGACGCCGAGCGATCAGAAACCGAGGGAAGAAAAGAGTGCCCCGTACCAAGACCCCCGGTATGAGACCCTCTTAGGGACTAAGGGTAGTTTCTTGGACACGTCCGAGCTGGATGTTACGGATACGAGCAAGCGTCTTATCTAGAACCTCCTAAGCAATGAACAGCCAGTTCCCGAGGGAATATACTTCGACGATACTATATTCGTGGATGCTTGTCGCAACTTACGGGGCAAGAATAAAGCTAGGGTTAACCAAGATATTTCTCGGCTCATCGTTCCTTCGGCAGAAATACTTGCCCTCCATAATGAGGACCTTAAGTACCTGATTAAGAGCGTTAACGAAGGATAGAACAACTCGATCCCTCTAATCAGTAAACGGCCGTAGCCTGATTACTCGGTAGGCTTTAAACGAGGGGCTTTTACGGACGACCAGCTTGTTAAACTATCGCCGTTAATTGGCGATTTCGCTGCTGGAGACCGATCCCTCTTTATGGCTACGTATTGCATGTGCTTCCCGTTCCTAACCTGTGAGGTGAAGTACGGCGCCGCGACGTTAGGCGTCGCAGACTACCAGAACGCATATCCCATGACCCTCACGGTACGGGTCGTCGCCGAGCTGTTTCGTGCGGTAAAGCGGGAGAGCGAAGTTAACCGGCGGATCCTCGCCTTTTCTATCTCGCAGGATAACCGGTTAGTACAGATTTACGGCCACTACCCGGTAATATATGGGAAAGATATTAACTATTACCGCCATCCGATCCGTGAATTCTCTTTTACGGAACTAAGGAGTAGAGAGAAGTAGACAGCCTACCGCTTTATAAAGAATGTTTACAAAATATGGATGCCCGCTTACTTTGAAAAGATTTACTCAGCCATCGATCAGTCGCCATCTAATCTAGATTCCGTCGTGCCGTCGCTCCTAGAAACCAGACTTTCCCTGGGCCTAGAGAACGTGATACAGTCGGAGGTTGCTGACTCTGCGGCTCTCGATGAGGATAGCCGGTCGAATGCCGCCCCACAAGGAGCCACCCCGGACACTTCGTTTACGGAGCTAGGAAGGGCCAAGAGGAGGAAGGGAGCCAAGAAATAACGACATTCATTTCCGGGCGCGTCCACCTCAGACGCTGTCGCGACACACGCAACGAACATGGGGACGTGTCTCACCATGGCGCCTTTCCTCTCTAAAGGCTTTCGTGGAGGTCAAGCCGACAATCGTATCGAGAGACTTGGATACCATACCAAGCTGCCGCTTTGATGGAAGAAATGTACGCTTCCGTCTCGTCGTGCCGCACCGGTCTCCCAGCCTGGCAAAGCACCCGGATGACTTTAGGGACGATTCACTAGAGATACAGCTAGGTATGCAAGTTATAAGGAAAGCTATGCCGCGTCGACTAACAAGTTCAAGAACTCTATATCCTAGGAAGCCAAACTAACCCCAAGCCTCGACAGCCGATGATGACCCGGTATTGAGGCGAGGAAAGTCACCTATGCGCCCTCCGAGGTCGAAGGAATAATAGCAAGCCTCGACGTATATCAACTAGTATAATTATATGCGGGTATGTTTTACGTGTTCTTTATAGTGCTCTCGCGTCCATTTCTGTCAGCGTCACTTGGTGCACACCTGTAGTTGGGCAAGCTGGGGACAGGCCCACGTTGAGGAGATGGCGTCAAAGGGCCGGCACCGCGGCGAAACGGAGAACAAAAGATTCTGGAGGAGAACGAAGCATCTCGACATTGGCGCCGCCGCAGTTAACGCAGCTCTACCACGTATCGACTTGGTCGAGAGAAAGGGGAGAAGGAAAATAGACATGTACGTGGGAGAAGAAGGACTCGCGAGCCAGAACCTCGTTCGGGACCGCCCTCATTCGCATGGCTCCCTTCATCGTAATCACCAACCGTCGTAATGCTCATCAGCTAAGCTACATTACACAGGCACTACTACGAGCAGTCAGCCGGCTAGAAGGCGAGGTGTCTTCCGAGGTGAAGGGGTTCTTTCGAGGTAAACGGGTACGGTAGATGCTATCGACGAGACTGGCAGCATTCAGACTATAGTGTACTCCTAGTCACGTCGTAGGGCCATTCAGTCAATCATCTTCATTCCCACTCGGCAACATTCCCTCCGTGCCCGCCCCGTAGTCCTCGTCGAGCTTCTCCCCGTTGACGAATACGGGCTTCGCGTCCTGCAGCACAAATACCATACGTGCCCACTCCGTCGGGCTCGGGTTGCGCCAGGAGTGCATGGTCGCTCGCTGGACGGCTATGTCGCCGCGCTTCAACCGGGTGACGCTGCCGTCGTCCAGCACCATTTCGATTTCCCCCTCGATGAGGATGCCGAAGTCGAGAGACTTGGTTCGGTGCATCACGCATTGGTATAGCGGGCCGAAGTCGACCATGCGACACACAGCCGCGCCCTTGCTGGCCAGTCCGAGTTTCCCACTCGCAACCTTCTCGTCGTGGAACTTGATATCGGCATCGTCGTTGAGGTCGGCCAGAAACGTGTTGGTATAGATCTGGTTGAAACCCACTGCGACGGGGGAGCGTCAATCTGCCGTTGCATACCGAGGGCGAGGCAGGGGAGGTAGAGAAGGCGTCCTCATCGATGACGACAATCTCCCCAAACAAGACTCACTCTTCCCGCCATCGAGTGCTGTCCATTTAGCCTGTCGTTCCGAGCGGACAACTGCCGATCCCTCGTCATTGTGCCCTGTCAGGTACGTAGTGGTATCGCGAAGATTCGAAACCTGCGGGGACGGCTCTGGCCCCGGCTGGGCGGTTCGGTTCGAGGTAGCGTCGGTGGAGGGCATGATGTCGACCTGGGCTTCGTCCGGCTATCTCGAGGGCTATCCGTGCGTCAGGTGGCATATGCCTAGGGATTCGATCTCTCCAGAGCGAGGCGAGTTGGATACCGATAGCGAATTATATCTGCCCACCGGTTGCAGCGCATGGGGAGGGGTATGTGTCATACGCGAGGCGCCTCCGGAGACCTTTCTAGGCCAGAGACGGTCAGACGGAGTTGGGGAAGCCCGAGATCCCTCAGATGCCACGTATCGAACTGCGCGAGCTGAGCCAATACCGCCATGGCCTGGAGTACGCCACAGTCTGGGCATCTAAAACAGGCAATTTCGCTCGGTGATCCTCGCCTATGGGCGCATTAGGGGCGTGTTCTCTGTAGGTAGGATGTCCGGATGTAGGTATGTGAACGGGTGTACGTTCGGTAACTAGTCGGTTGCGCGTTGAAACGTTACAGAAGCCCAGAGTCGGCGAGGCGTCAAAAATCTACCCACCTCTCGAGAGCCGGCATGCATCCCTCCATAATCTGATCGGTCGGGTCTCTGAGCCTCTCGAATCCTTTCCGCTCTTCGGCAACCCGTCCCATTGGGGTCCCCACAACACCCCCCTGACAGGATACTCCCGGATACTCCAGGCATTCCGGGAAGTTCATGGCGACTGATCGACGTATCTATTCACCTTCGAAGGCTCGACGGGCTGGTTCGGCACACACTACGTCCGCAGGGCTTCGATACAGCATCACTCCTTGCTTTGGTATTACGTCGTCTCCACAACGTATTCTCTTTGGACATAGATGTTGCCCTCGGTCGTCCTCCTAAAGAAGCCAACCATCCTACCCCGGACCTCCGTATGCACCGTGGCCTGGCGGTCCATGGTGGAGTCGCGCACCCTTACCTCGTCTGGAGGCAGGTCAGGCCAACGGGCCGGGCCCGAAGGCTGGTCGGCCTCGTCTAGCACGACGCCGTGCTCGATCTCGACAACCCGGCGAGCCGATGCGTGCACGGCAGACACCTCCCAGAGATTTTCTCGTGGTGCTCCCAGCTGCTTAATTAGCGAAAGCGCCTGGACCCTGGTCGTCAAACACCGGCACTTCAGAACGACGTAGTAGAGCAGTGGAACAAACCCCATCTCGAAGGTGAAGTGCGGCATCTTTCGAGACTCGCCGCGACCAGATGACTCTCGGGACGCAAGTAGTTCCGCCGCCTGGCTAACCATCCATCGGAATCTACCGAGGAACTTATCATATGCCGTCTCGTCTTGGTCGAACGCCACCTCGGCCCAGATGTAGGCAATCTCAAAACGCAACGTCACATTATAAAGCGCCGCATCTGGTTTTCTAGGCCCCGACTCGAGGCTCTGGAAGTCAGAGAACCGGCGGCGCCAATCTCCTATGAGGCCTCTAATCTTGTTCTGCTCTAGGAGGAGCTCGGGCGGCACGGGACAGTGTCGCAGGTCGCCGAGCCGAAAGATGTCGGCGCGACGAACCAACCGCACCGTTCTGGCCACCAGGCCATCGACATAGTACTGCGCCTCGCCGATGGAGCGGAACGGGACCGCTATGCGGTCCTCGAGGCCGACCAACCTCGGGAAGCTCGTGTGGTCCTTGCCGAAGAAGAAGGGGAAGAGGGTCAAGCGGCGGAAGATGGGGGAAAGGTACTCCTTCGTCCAGGGATAAGAAGCCTCGACGTTCTCCAGGATGGAAACCCCGTGCTTGCAGTGCTGGATCGCCGTGTCTCGATTCGCCATTAAGATCTCTATGCAGATAAACAGAACGCAGACCAATAGCACTAAGGGCTCGTTGCGCATCGCCTTCAGCTCGCGGATGGCGGAATTGTAGTGGGTGAGCGCGAGCGTATTCGGTGTCAGCGGCGGTGCCGATCCGGGGTTCGCATACAGTTGTTCATACAGCGAGCTGATGGCAACGACGGAGTGCCTAACGGCCGGCTCAAAGGTGCTGAACTGCACGACCAGGTGGGTCCAGAAGTACGGGTTCAGCGGACCCGACAGGGACGGTCCAGCAGCATCGCAGAAGAACTGCAGCGCTCGCCTCTCTGCCTGGTCGTCGATGTTGGGGAACAGATGACGCGGGCGGTGCCACGATAGGCCTAGAGACGACGCAGCGGCCGCGTATCCGTCACATTTGCGGCCGGTGGAGACGCAGCGTTGGCAGCACGGCTTGCCTTCGTCGCACTTCACCTTGCGAGCCCTGAAGCCATCGTCAGCATCCCGCACGTGCGCCTGCTCACGCGGCAGCTCGAGCGCGCTCGTCGGGTTTGAGGGAGCCCACGCACTTGCAGGTCAGACAGCCCGTCCGAACCTTGGAACTGCCCTTTCGAGGCATCGGGAGCGGCACCGTCTTCGGACTAAAGAGGGTAGGTAGGTAGAGATACCCGTACAGAGATAGGTAAGTAGCTAGGCGAGGCGGCCGAGGCGGATGGGAGACGACGTGGGTCTGCTACATGTCGAATTTCGGGGAGGGGCGGGCAGCCTTATTATCCTCGCTTACGGCGAAGGACTCGACGATGCACAATTCCAGGGGGGCGGTGTACGGGGGTGGCTGTGGCTGTGGCTTAGAGCATGAGGTCCCAGTTACCTACCTACTCGGATACGGGGATAACAGGTCCGATCCGGCGAATCAGGAACCGACGCTGCCTTGCCTCCGGGCTACCGAGGTAATAGATAGCTCCTCTCAGCCCTACAGCGCTATATATAAGCATTCTATGCCTCTAAGCAGGTATATTAGGCATGTGCACATATGCTCTGATAGGTAGGTATGTGTGCCATATATGCCTGTGTGTCTACCTATAGGTATAGATGGAATAGATGTACCTAACTATAAACCCAGGGGTAGTTTTACTCGAACTACCCACCTAACGACCCATGAATAAATAGCTTCAATCTACAACACCTTCGTCTGCTGTGGTTGTAATCCTTCGTCGTCCCCGATCGAGAATTCCTTGCCGTATAACCACAATCAGGACACTCTCTGCCGTAACTTTAAGCATAGCTTGAATACCTACGTGTTGTGTTAATATCAGTTGGCTGTCTACCCAGGTTAGGTATTACCTCTTGGCTAAAGATATGGGTAGGGGTTGCGCTAGCAACGTATCTTACCACTACTTGTCACTATTACTTTACTACGCACGTCTTGATGCCACAGACCGACCTCCTCTTGCCGAGATCATGATATTCTTATATGCTTATACCAGCCTCTTATTTTTTTTTCTAGCTCAATGAAGAGATATCTACGCCAGACCACCCAGCCATAGAGAGAAGAGCTACACCTATTGTACCTAAATTGAGAGCACATATTTTTTTCCCCCTCCCACAGAGTCAATCCGCGTACGATGTAGAGAAGGCGTAGAAGCAACTTCTCCACACGTCTTGCGAGCGTCCACCACGACATGCTTTTCCTCCTCTATTATTTCTTTCCCTCACATTCTATTATTTCCACCACATACCTCCCGCATGCTTGGATTCACACCCCGTTGTAGCGACCTTCGCCGGCGCTCTTGTATAAGATTTCAATGGGCATGAAATCAGCCGTGACAACGGCCGTGCCTGTATTAAGAACACCCGGGTTACTACCTCGCTCGGAAAAGGGGGGGGCAGGTGGGGGGTTGCTCGCCACTCACCATCAGACCATTTCACCTTCCAGGTGTCGTCGTGTCCCGGGAAGGCAAGCCATTGGCCGACAGCGTCGTTGGTGACCTTCCCGTCCGAGATGACGAACGTGTCCCACTGGGCAACGTTCCCATCGCCGGGCTTAACGGTGGAGGGATTCATCAAGTCGACCAGGGTCAAGAAGCCAGGAGGGCCAACGAGTCCGAGGGAGTGGTCGACAATGCCTACGGGGTATGTGTGCAACTCGTTCACCCCCTCCTTCGCGCCCTCGACGGCATAGACCCTGACAGGTTCGAAGTCGGCACTGAAGACGCCGAGGGTGTTGTTGTTGAGGGCAAGAAACCGGCCGTCTACCCTCTGGTTGGCGGGGCTGTCGGTTTCGTTAGCGAGAGGCAGCTCCAACGAGACAGACAACTGGGCGGGCACCGGTAAAGCCTACCACGAGATTTGCAGCTGGAATAGATCGAGCTGCCTCTCCACAACCGGGGCAGCGGAGACGGCGGCGGCAAGGAAGCCGAGAGAGAGAAGGCGAGCGGTCAACTGCATGGCGAGCGAGTATGCTAGCGATAGCGGCAGTACCGGCAATGGCAAACAGGGACGATCAGGCGGAATCGGATCAGGGTTGCGGACACGGACGAGGATCTTGGTGATCGATCTAGGTTAGATCTGAGATGATGTGCGGCGACGACTGTGGAGAAAAGGTAAGACGCGGATGACGAAGGGGGAGGGGAAAGGGGAAGGCGAGGAATTTATACCCGTCGACGACGAGAGGAGGGGGGTAGAGAGAGGCGGAGGAGTCAATCCCGGCGGCGGATGGTATGGGTACGTCATGGGACGAGGGTGCTGTGGTTTCTGGGAGGGTAAAGAGGGCAGGCCGGACGTCTACTATAGGCACCTTGCCTACACCTGGCTCCGGGTGGTCGAGGCATCGCCTGTTGCTCTCCCCACGGCGGCGGGCTCGCCGGTCCAGCCACAGACAGGCGCAGCGGATATAGGGGGGGCCAGACGGCGGGCATCGGGTGACAGGTGACAACTGCGACCGGAGACGAGAGGGCGGTCACGACACATCTCACGCCACACGGGCGCGCAAGCAAACCCGGAGCGGTGCCAACGAGGTAGACAGGTACATGTCTGGCTGCGCACTTCGCTCCAGACGCGTAGGTACCAACCGCCCACGCCTCAGGTACCCGGCCGGTGGCCTCCCTGCCTCTCCAGGTACGTATATATACTAGGTACGTATATATCGGCCCACCTCTGTGGGTTGTTACGTAGCCAGGGCAGGAGGAAGGGAGAGAAGGGGGTGGAAGGAGAGAGGCGGAGGAGGGGGAGCCAATATCAGACGGATCGACCACGTCGCCCGAAGTCGAGGGCATCACGCAGCTGGCATCGCGTTACCTACCTCTTGTCAACAGCGGTGCGGTGTCGAGCGCCCATGTCCCCCACGCCGCTCTCGAATCCGGCCTGGCGAGCATCGATCTGGCCTCTAACCCACACCGAGCAAGCCCGGAATGGTGGACAGATCTCCATGCCGTATGCCATCGGAGGGGGGTTGCTAATTATAGCTCGATCAGCCCCTGATGTTTCCCCGCGACTATAGCCCTGGAGCCAACATCAACCGTAGGCTAAAGTCGACAACGACGCCGAGACCCTGAAAATGGCAACAATCCAATTTACACCCTCTGCTCTTCCCTCGCCGCCCTCCGCCGCCATTCTAGAAGTCCCTGGGATGCTCCGTGGGATATCTACATACACCCGCCACTACGCCCCTCTGCCTGCCCCGACGCTACCCGCCATCCGGGAGGCCAAGCTCTGAGGCGACGTCGTCTCCGCCTACCCATGCAGCCACTGATACCGTCCACGCAGCCGGCCTGCGCTTGCGCCTCCGAGACGAGAGAAGGCCTGCGGGATCAGCCAGGTTGGAACTCTTCGAGGAAACCCGGAGCACAGCTCCGGGTCTGCTTCCGTCAGAGGGAGAATATTGAGGATAGGAAAAGAAGAGTCCCCCCCCACCTGCTCCTTTCTCCCGTTCGACGTGTTTCTATCTTTAAACGCGCTTACATAGGTTGCGTCTCGCCGCAGCACACGCATCCTCGAGAGACACCTGCTCGAGCTTGGGCGCGACCATCTCATCGTCGCCGAGTCGCCTTCTCCGAATTAGCCACGTTGCCTTTGTATCTCCAATATTATCACCGGGCGTTTCGATCAGGTATCGGCAACGACTAAAAACCCATTTCTGCTACTATGAGCGCGGCGGGATGATGGGACGACGGGTTGATACTCCCGAGTGTATTTATGCCTTTAGTCGGACTCTTGCTAACGAGGCAGAGCACAGAGACTCCGGAAGGATCGCTCGCGAGCTTGGTATCGTTTGTCCCACACCGGACCCTGCGCCGAACCACCACGCAAAGTAGGAGCAATCCCCCTCGTACTTCTTCAGGGGCCCCTCCATCTACGACTAATTTCGAGGGAGTTGATGTGTTCAGCCCCGATCAACCAACCGTTGAACATCACTTTTATATTCTATACGCGCATGGCCTATTTGCGGACTGGACAAGCGACGAGAGGAGGTATCACCGGCCATACATCGAGTTGACACGCTCATCATTCTCAATAGTCGAGAGGGGCGTTGTGGTGTTCCCCTGCGCATAGGCTTCGGCTAGATAGTATTAACGATCTAGGTATCTACCTATATCTTGCCTACTCGCATATAACTAGGTAAGTCGTAGTGGGAGGGTAATATTGCAAGGAGTCCAAACGGGTAGATTCCAGGCGATGTCAAGGTTGATAAGTAGCTATAATATACGAGGTCGAGAGTTACTAATATATTACTAGGTATATACGTAATCGGTGGAACCCCTGTCGATAAATACACCGAGATTAGAGGAGATGAGCAAGAAAGGATGCTATATATTAGGTAGGCGAAGCTTGCACTCTGCGAGCTCGTTGCTCGAATTCCTGTCAGTAACCGCGCCGGCCGGAGAAGCGGTGAATCGCGGAGATGGACGGCCTGTTTGTGCTAATATACTTATAAGTTAGCCCATAGATATAGCATCCCTTCCCAGACCTCTATGCTGCTGGGTAAGATCTGGTCAGCGGGAAGGACGAAGCCGTAAGAGGTAGACCTGAGCTCAACGCCCCATGCGAATTCGGTTCCGGCAGCGTCCGTCATGTAGTCTCTGCCATTACCGCTAGACTGGTAGAGGACCAGGCAGCCTGGACCGTAGTCAAACGTCGTATTGTCTATGTGCGATAGGATTAGCAGGTGTCGCCCCTGAGGTGTACAGGGGAGTCTTTCGTCTGGGCCGAAACCCGCCTCGGCTTAGGAGCGTCGGCAACGAGGGGAAGAAGGAAAGGTAGGGACACGGGTGGGATATGAATGGCACATACACGGCTGCGCAATCCTAGCAGCTGTCCCCGCCGCCAGGCCTATCTGCCTATCGATGTTTGGCGGGAACGCGTCGCACGTATAGCCATAGGAGAGCAAGATGACCTGCGCGTAACTATGCCAGTCGATATATAGCTTTATGCCCTTGTCTGCAGATAGTGCTTGGGCAAAGTCCATCAGGGCGGCACACTCCGGAGTGTCGCCCGGCTGATAGCCCCTGAAGGTCTCTGAGCCGGGGTTGGAGGAGGATCCATCGCCCCCGAACCCCACGGACCAGTTCCGGTTTATGTCTGTCCCGATTGCCGTCGTATTCTGTCTCCGTTGCCGATTCTTTCTCCAGAGGCGATTTTCCGTCTGCGAGTACACAAAACCTGGTTGCCAATGGCGGATCTGGTTAGCCGCTCCGGTTCCTGCGATCCGGCGGGGGAAGGCCGAATCGTGATGGGTTTCATACCGTCTGGGTTTACGACCGGTAAGACGTAAAAGTCGTAACCGTCCAATACCTCCCGAACGGCCGTCTCGGTCGGGTACCCCGTGATTATCTGATATAGCAGGTATTCGACTACCTAGATAAGATGCCGCGTCAGAGTAGAATACCCTCGTGCACCGTAGTACTGGTGGACTCGGGCCGCTCAGCGCGCACCTTTGAAGTTATCCATTCTCGCGCGTGCACGTTCCCGTTGAAGAATATGGCGGGCTTGGAATTCTTGCCGCTCTTGCCCCAAAGATGGATGCCCTGGATGGGCCGCCCCTCGAACGAGAATCCCACTTGGATCAACTCGGAGTTGTTAGCGAAGGCAGCCTGGAGATCGGCCCAATAGCGGACGTGGTCTTCGTAGGCGTGATAGGAGTCAAACCAAGATATCGCAGGTATGCCGTTTCCGTCGAGCACTTTACTCCTCATCAGTATTTGTCTACGATATTACTTCTTCCCTAGAAAAAGAAGTGCCGGGTACGAACCCGGGTAGTCGCCCGGTAACCCCTCAGCCGCAATATCGCCGGCCAGATCCTCGCTGAGGACGGTCATGGTAAGATTGAGCGACTCGATGGCCGCACGGTGCTCGGGGGGGACCGCGATATCGAGGGCCGAATGTTCACCGCGGCCATGATCCCGAGCGAGTTGGACGATGGGCAGTGCCTCAAGTGCCGACTCCAGGCTCGCTATGTCATTATTCGTGTCTATTCGATATACCTTATAGCCGTCGAAGCTGATGCGCCCCTGGATGCCCCGTACAATGGCACCAGATACGCAGATGGAAAGAATGCTAGACGGCTTCATGACGTGCTTGGACTAGGTAATATAACACAGACGCCGACCTCCTTCTCAGCAGCACCGGAAACTGGATGAGGTCAAACGTCCAGACGTCCAACATATATACCTGCCTGACCATCTACTAGCAATCGGCCGTGCGCCAACAGGAATCGCCGACTGGGGTCGGAATGCAACACTGTGTCGTGAGCCGAGCGTACCGTCGTAGGCCTCCATCCTAAATATGTTGTCCTCTCTGCTCCTCCACCCTAGCTTGGCGGGAATGACGTGACTTTCATGTAGCATCTTGACAGTCCAAGAGCCTGCCTATGGGACTATATAAAATCCCGATGCAGAACCCCGGCATTCTAGACGAGATCGACGATGTTTCTTCTGCCGTCGATTAGACATCTTCTAATCGTACAATCTCGCCCTTCTCCATTGCAGTCAGCCCATCTGCGCGTCCTTTTCGCCCATATCCCATCGCATTGTGAAATTGCTTGGAAGAAGTCAATCTTCACATAGCTTTCCTCAAGGGGCCACTCTAGCCACAGTTCCCTCAACCTGGCCTCGTAGACTTTTCGCAGCTGCGTTGCCTCGTACCCCATCCTGTGAACGAAGTACAACTCACCCTTACCATCACTACCTAAGTAACCCGGGTCGTTACGCTTCCCGGCTGCGGCGGCGGACTCCTCGGGTGTCTCATCCACATACGAACCTCGCTGCGGCTCTCTCTCCCGAACTGGCCCGTCAGGGAACTTAGGAACCTTAGTCGACATCCAGGGAGGTAGTGCCGAGACGCACTCCTAGTCTAAAACGGCCGTGATTTCGCCTTCTTCGCTCACTAGAATGTTGTTTAGATGGAGGTCATGGTGGTAGAGTCCTGTTCTCTCTGACTCGTCCGAGGTTGGGAGGAAGACCTTGGGAATAAGAGAGAGTAGTTTTCGTGCTACGAACAAGACCTCCTCGGCGTCTTCTCTGTCATCTTCACCCTCCGTCTTCCCGAGAACTGCTGTCTGATGTAGCAGGATGATGTTCAACTCCGCGCTCAGCCAGTCATGGCTAGAGCGGAAGGGGCCCCTCGGCATGTCATAGGTAATGAAGGCGATCGCCCATAAAGAACTCGTGGAACACCAGCAAGCCAGGAACGACCTTTTCCGCATCTTCAGCGTTGTTTTTTTTGGCCGACCTCCCGCAGATCCAACGTCCCTATGCTCCTGAATACGGATCCTGGCTTCCCGGGTCCCAACAATTGCACCTGGGATGTCGCAATCCGCTTCGTGAGCGCAACCTTCTGCTCCATCGACATAGTCCGCCACCGTTTATGTGCCGATGCACCCTGTATAAGCTCCGTCAAGATCCACTCGTACCCAATCTCATTGTCGTTGCTGTTGTCAAAACCGAGCACCTTGGGGACCGGGACCTTGGTGTTCTCGCGCACCCACCGCAAGGTGGCTACCTCGGCGCGCGTCTTGTGACGTGGGTAGACCGGCAGCGAGACACGCATTATGAGGGAGCCTCTGGCACATTTGACAGTATAGGGTTGATTGAATAGCCCAGATGCGTGAAAGGCGACAGTGCAGGGATCCTCAGGGGGGATGGCCAACTGCTAGCGACACACGCTTTCAATCGCGGCGATCGAAGGGTCCCGCGTCCATTGCGGCACAAGGTCAAACAGTGTCTCTTTCCATCCCAACCCATCCTGGCTCGGTCGCGGCATCTTACCAGAATTCAAGAGAGTTTTTATTGTTAAGATTTCTGTCGTCCAGTTATCAGTCATGAAATGTCGGATAACACGGCCTGCGATACCTTGATCAGGTGCAATGACGATTGGATGTTGTGTGTGGTTACTCCTCTATAAACACCGTTTCCCTGTGAAAAGAACTCTCTGGTTATTCCTCTGAAACCTCTCTGGCTGACTGAACCCACGGGCTAGATACCAGGACCCCAACCTACTGACCCACCTAGGTAATTTGGCCGACAAAGAATGGGTTACTGTGGATGGTGTGGTGGTGAACGCATAATCAGGTGCCTCCGTAGAAAGATCACCGGGCATGAGGCGGCAAAAGAGGCTACTATCAGAATATTATGAGTAGCAGAATGGTAGCTAGAGTTATACAGCCGCTTTCGATAACCTACCTAGGTCGGTTGGCATGAAACCTGCTTCGGGATAGGGTACAACTCACTTACTGGAACACAGCACAATTGACGCCCTTCAACCGATTTTGTCGTGCAGTAGGTACGATATTTTGGCTGATTTCAGATAGGTAGGTATGGGAGATAAATGAAATCGGGACGTATGTCCAAGTAGCCTGGAGCGTGTGGCCTAGATATCAACGACCGGGAATAAATAAGTCCCGGCCGAGTGTAGGCAAGATAAATAAGACCGGGCTGCCGATAAAACAAGTTTAACGCAAAGCACGACATTACAATAGACGATGGTGAACAATGGTGTGAGCTGTAACCTGAGTGGCGTAAGGCACTTGGCATATCCCAACTCCGCGGAGAGCTCCAGCTAGACTGCTACCCACGCATACGCCTACCATGTCGTATTAATTCCCACGACCAGGGTGGGGGGGCAATTGATCAAGGCACCAGAGACCGCGAGTCGATGAGCCCCCTTCGACATGCTAGGTATAATACCTATTGATGCGGACTCAGGTCCACCACCCTGGCGTTGCCCTCCCAGATAGGTATTTATGCCTTTCGCCTCAGGGAGCTCGACGCCAATACGACCAAGCTACATACTGGGGACGCGATCGTTGCTGCCACTGCCACTTCTTTCGGGGAGAGAGACAAAGATGTCTGCTCAGAAGCCGGCGATCACGCCCTCGCCTGCCAGGTCCATCACCTCTTCCGACAACGACAACCCAACGTCAGAAGGGAAGTTGAATAGCAAGGATGGGGGAGATTTGAGCCCCCCGACCCCACTGGCCTTGGCAACCCGTGAAGGCGAACGCATGGAGGCGGCGCTTGGCCGTGCTATACTGCGCTTCCTGGGCATTCGGAAGGGCCGAGAGGACGACGAATACGATCTCGATTCAGTAAGTAAAGATCCCAAGATGCCTGCGTGTTCAGCGGAGGATTGACCCTGCCAAAGGTCGCTACGCAACCCAGCATTTGGGACTCCGAGAATGTGGAAGAGTACAAGCAAGTCTATATCCATCCCCAGTGGGAGAACTGGTCGGCTTTCGACCCCAAGTTCCGCTGGACGTGGAGGGAGGAGAGGGCAGTAAGGCGCAAGGTCGATTGGAAGATAATGGTAAGCAACCAGGGCGTGCGCGGGTCGGGAAGTTGAGCTGACTGTTCAGGTCTGGGTTTGCATCATGTTCGCTGCCCTGAACATTGACCGAGGCAACATCTCCAACGCTGTATCAGACAATATGCTTGACGATCTCGGCCTCACTCGCGGTGATTATGTAGGTTACATCCCGGGGCGGCGTTAGCCATTGAGGCTTCTCATTACCGGTCCAGATTTCCGGTGCTGACGAGGTGTAGAACATTGGCCAAACCATCGCTCGAGTTGGCTTCCTAGCTGCCGAACTCCCATCGCAGCTGATCTCTAAACGGTAAGCCGGTCCTCCGAGAAGATGTCGGGGCCTAGCTGACTTCCCCAGTATCGGCCCAGACCTTTGGATTCCGATACAGATTTGCATTTTCAGCGCAATTTCCGCCTTGCAGTTCTTTCTCAGCGGACGAACTTCTTTCCTCGTTACTAGATATTTAATGTGAGTCGAGTCACCACCGGCGACGAGCACCCTCCGCTGATCGTTTAGCGCGACGTTCCAAGGCGGGTTTATCCCGTAAGTATTCCTTCCTAGCCGGTGGCTAGACAGGCGGCATTACTCACCTTGCGATAGCGACACAATCCTTTACTTGAGTTACTGGTACACCGGCAAAGCGGTAAGTGTGAACCTCACAGTGATCCCTGAAACCTCTCCTTGGCGACTGCTCATCCCGTTAGCTTCCAATCAGACTGGCTTGGTTCTGGATGTCCTCGCAACTAGGTGAGACTCTTACCCCAAGGCTGATATGCTCTTCTCATGTCATTCGTTAGTCGATATCGGCGTTGGTTTCGGCGCTGTCGGTCTTTTGTCGATGCGTGGTATATTGGGATACGAAGGATGGCGGTGGTTGTTCCTTATCGAGTAAGCTCCGCAGACAGCTCTTCTACAAATCCCGCGGCCGTGGCTAATGTCTCTCTCCAGGGGCGCTTTCACTTGTAAGGGCGATTAACGAATCTGACGCTGGGGGTGCTGACCTATGGCAGTCTTGATTGGAATCGCCTCCTTCTTCCTCATGCCCCAGTCTCCAGCTAGGACAAAGAGCTGGTGGAACCCTCGGGGGTATTTTAACGAGAACGAAGAGAAAATTATTGTTAACTCCGGTGAGCTACCTAGGTAGACGGACCTATAAGCATAAGCCCGTTTCTAACCTCAGTCTCAGTAATCCGAGACGACCCCCAGAAAGGAGGAATGTACAACCGCCAAGGCCTGTCCGTCAAGCAGATCTGGGAATGTGCGAAAGACTACGACATGTGGCCACTGTACGCTCTGGGCTTGTTATTTGGCCTGCCAAAATACCCAGTGGGACAATACTTAACGCTCTCCTTCCGCGGCCTAGGCTTCAACGTCATCGAGACTAATTTGCTTTCAATCCCGAATGTTGTCGGCTCAAGCTTGACAATGCTACTCATTACTGCCCTGAGTGAGTTGGTGGATAATAGAAGTTTCGTGTCAATGGCAGAGGATGCCTGGCTATTGCCTTGCTTTGCGGCCTTGATAGCTTTGCCGGACCCTATCGGTGCCTGGTCGTACTTCGCGATCGCAACAGTATTGTTGTCGTTCCCCTAGTGAGTTACCGCATTCAACTGGGAAATGTTCGGGAGCTAACCAAGCCCAGTACCCATCCTATACAGGTTGCCTGGACCAGTCGAAACGCAGGATCAGTCCAGAATAGGACAGTTTCTGCCTCGTATGCTTACCCCCCCTCTCTCAACCTGCCCCGTCAAACTACTCGTCTTTATTCTAATTTAAGGTGTAGTCTCTATAATATGTGGGTTCAAGTTAGTGGGATGATCGGAGCGAATAGTGAGTCCCCTCTCCCCTGACCGTTCTAGTACCATATGGGTTCTGACTACGCAGTTTATCAACCCGATGACGCGCCGAGGTACTTCAAAGCAAATAAAGGCCTGTTAGTTATCTGCATCTGGATGTGTGTAAGTTGCACCTCTTTCTCTCGTCCGCATCCTTTGGTGTACACGAAAACTTAGACCGTCTGTAGATTATACAATACCCTGCTACATTTTTCTACTACCGATGGAGAAACAACTCGAAGGCAAAGAAATGGGATGCCATGACTGCAGAGGAACAAGACCATTATAGGAAGACTACAACCGACATAGGCAACAAACGGTGAGTGTCTGCCCGCCCTTCGCGTATGGCCCTTTCCATCTAATCCGTCTCGATAGACTCGATTTCCGTTTCGCGACTTAAATCACGACACCAGCTGGTTGGGTAGCTAAAAGGACGCGGGGGGCTTAACTAGAAGAAACGCTTGCAACCAATTGGTCCTATGGCAAGATGGCAGCTTACTCCCCATAGTCTCGGCACGGGATTTCTCACTTTATCATCGGGACTACCAAGCGGCAATGTTCATGTCGTATATACCTATATAGCATCTAGCCCGTGTATATACCGCTTCTAGCTTGGAAACGTAGCACCTATGTTACTTAAGTTGGTGGTATTACCTAAAAACTTGCAACCGCCTCTTCTATTCCCGTCACGAACTATCCTCGTCCTGCAGCTACCGTGGCGGACAGGCCATTATATTCGGAGTAGCCATAAACGACTCCTACAGGTTATGATCCCAACCTCCTAATACCCGAATACAGATAAATTGGTAGGCCCTGCTAACGTCTCTTCTTTCCCGGCTGGTCTCTGTCGGCTTGAACCCATGAAACCCTGGTGGGCATTACCGAATGCTATAGGCACCCAACCCTGCACAGCAGCAACGCGTTTTCGCCGGGTGAAGAGCCACCCGAGGTCGAACTCTTTCGCGACGGTTGGGCGATATAGGTACCTACTAAATTTGTGTCTTTGGTTCTCAGACTTGGACCCCGGCCAACCTGCCCGTATCTCCTCTACCCACATACAGTACAGGGCTGCCCGGTTATATAATCGCTATAGATGACTTAAAAGTCTACATCTATTAAAAACGTTGCCTCCAGTTGTTACTAGGATTAGCGGTCTGTAGGAGTAATATTAGTGTTAGGAACGCAAGACTAACTTTTAAACCGTAACGTCACTATAACACCACTTGAACGGCCTGAAAAGGGGGCACACGGCCACACTACAGTCGCTCCTCACGACGAGGGAAAAAAAACATGACCTGTATAAGCCCGCACAGCTAAACAAGGAAACAAAGGCGTTTACAGTGTCTCCCGATAGGATTCATTCGGCCTTCCGTACCTTACCGCGCAACATTGATTAAGCAATTCAGTCAGGGTAGGTATGACCAGAGCAGACGCGTGATATTATATTAACTCAAAAAGAATCTCTCGCGCGCCAGCCTCTGTTACGCCAGAGGTCAGACAAGTAGGCGGACATGCACATCGATCCGAACGTGACATAGCCCTTATTTCTCCCATCCTGGGCCCTTGGCTTAATGGCCACTCGTTCCACCATTTGTTCCGTTCGCGACAGCAGTAGCATCTCCTCCGTTGGCCTCGTCGACGGCGCAACAGCCGCCGGCGGGAAATGCGAGCTTGCTCATCTTGTCTGCGGCGTTTGTCACGCCGGCACCGCTCGCTGCTACCTGGCTGGGAGTGCTAGAGTAGCTAGGCGGGACGTCAAGGACGGGGTTGTTGGTGAAAAAGTTGCGCGGCCGCAGGAGCAGGGTGATAGGCTCGACAGGCATCACTGGGAAGTCTTCAGGCGCTGGAATGTGCACTACGCCAAAAGTATGCCACAAGACGATATCGGTATCGTCGACCGACTCGGTGCCGTCTCCGACCCACTCCGGCAGCCCAAGAGACGGCTCACCTGATGTCTGTGGCACGTGCCGGCCTGCCGGCCAGAGTTGGTCATCCTCGTCTGCGTCGTTGTCTTAGTTAGGAACGAAGAGGTGGGGAGGGTAAGGTGGGAATAGAGCGGGTAAGGGGAAAGCTCTAGCCAAGATGACATACACCTGGTTACATATACGGCATGTCTTGCGAAGCCAGCTCTCTTCCAGACGAGTGAGCCCTCCTTCGGTAGAAGCCCGGGAACCTCTCGGCTGACAAGTTTATAGCTAGACGGCTTCTTGCTGTAGGGATGCAGTCTGCTTGTGTTGCAGATTTCCCACGTACGGCTTGTAGCGCCGTTATAATCCGTCGCGGCATTGCCGGTGGTGTCGAGCTTCGTCCGTTGAGCATAGAATGCATTGCCATGGTAGTTCTCCGGGCTGCCGACCGGAGCTTGAGACGGGACCGCGTCCGCCATGAACACAGTATTGTTCGGACCATCTACGTTCGCATCAATGCGAAGGCAGAACAGGTGTTGGTGGTTATGTGCATTGACCCCTTGCGAACGGGTTAGCCAGTGACCCTTAAGCTAGGTAGGGGCTTCCGCGTCGGGTCCACCGCGCGCAGTTGTCTCTCTTACCCGGATAAACCTGGGTCCCCCAGCCCTTGGTATCCTCGTCGGGGTTCATGCTGTACGTATTAAGGATTCCAGTGAGTTTGATCTCTGGTTGGATCGTCCCATCTTGCTGTGGTCATTGTTTGTTAATCCCTTGAGCTCTCTAGCCTCTGGTGAACTCTAGGGTTTTCTTACGTGGAAAATCCACTGGTCTGTATGTTAGCATGAACACGAGACTCGATGACCGTGGAGGGACTCACCTGGACAGCATACTCGTAGTTGGCCGCGGTAAAGATCTGCTGGATCACCAGCTTCCGCCCGCGGGTTACGATGACCGATTCGTCTCTGAAATCAGTGTGCTTGAATAGGATACCGCTGTCCTCCTCGTGTATGCATATCGCGTTCTTGATGGTGCGAACAGCGCCAGACCTCGTAGGGAAATGTGCATCCAGGTAGTGAATAGACCCCTTGCAGTCGCATCCGAGAGCAAGGCTATTGGTCATATACCCGGCGCCGTATTCCCCGAGATCAAAGGCATGCTTCCGCTGGTGCGGGTGCTCGGGGTTTCCGCTATCATATCCAGTTCAGCGTCTTCCATAGATAAAACGGGATTGAGATACTTACTATGGCACGACCATCTCCGCCAGCGAGAGCCGGTAGAAGATGGGGCGGAACGTCCCCTTGTCGTTATAAGCGATATCGCTGAGAACGATGCCCTCGCGGTAGTTGAACCCGATGTGGAACCTCCAGTTCTGCCACCGGATCTGTCGCCCATCCATCGTAAACGATACCCCCTGAGGTTGGGTTATGTTGATGGGCTTTAGGTCATTGCGATAGCCCCCCGTCTTCTCGATGGCTGCCGGGTGGTAGTTAGTCGGCGCGACCTTGCTCAGAGGTCGCCGTACTTTTGGGATGTCGATATCGACGATTTTCTGATTCTCGGCGTCGTAGATCGGGCAGAAGTCCAGCGGGTACTGGTACTGGCAGTCGTCTAAATTGGGCCGGTAGTACATCAACGCCTGTTGAAAGCGAGTCTTGTTTCCGAACCTCTCGTCGTAGCCGATCGTCCACGGATCGCAGTAAACCTTGTGCATGTCTTCCTTCGGAATGCCGCTGATCTCGCACTGCTCGATGACCTTGGGATCTTTCCGGCAGACGTGTTCGACGAGCACGAGCTCCTCCATGGTGATCTAGTGGGTCGCGGTTAGCAACGGCCCTGCCGGCACAGTTCGTCGACACTGACGATAGGTTGCTGGCCGTCCAGCAGCTCCCACTTGGAGATCTTGCCCGTCGCGATGTCTACCAGTCCATCGTAGACCTTACCGCCGGGGGCGATCACGACGACATCCGCAACCCTCGACGGCCGAGGGGCGTTGGTCGAGTCGGCGAGCCATTTTGTCATCTCGGCCTTGCGGGGCTCATGGAGGGAGACGACGTTGAAGAGAACATCACCGTGGGCTTTCCTCACAACGCCGATGACCGATCGGATCTCATCGACAGTCAGCGGGTCGAGAGGATACAGGACGGCGTCAGAAGTTCCAGAACCCATCTTCACCGAGACAATATGGCGGGTGGGATGAGGCGAGGTGAGGCGGGAGGACGCGATGCTATCCTTTCAGATGGCCTCCGCGGTTATGGGCGTGGCTTAAGTACCTGCTGGAGCCTGGAACACACGCACCTTCACAGTGATAGCCCGGACCGGTAGGTAAGGAGTAGGTACCTAGGTAATAGGTATTACACCCACCTACTCCGGGGGTTCCTCTTGGCCCCGATAGCCCCAAGAGGTGGAACGAACGAGCGACGCGCAGCAGTTTGTAGACCAGCACTATCTCGTGCCAATTAGCAATTGGGATTATCCCATCAGGGTCCGATAAGGGCCTCACCCGCCTCCCGGCCATGCTTCGGCGAGTGCCCGGTATCGAAGCTGTAGCCCAGCCCGAGCCCCGCCCTCCCCTGGCTAAGGTCATCGCTGTTTAGAGCCTGCAATGGCGTCTAGGTGGCCTTGCTATGAGGTAGGCAGATGCCGCTATCGCGACGCGTGCGGGCTGCGTGCGATGCGATGCAATCGATGCCATAGCCACGACGTCACGGGAAACGCTTACCCGGATCATCGTGCTCCTGCTCGAGATCGAGTCGGATTTCTTTCCACCTAATGGTTTTCTCCCGGTTCTCCTCGGGTTTGTACATCGTATATACCTAGTAGTAGGTAGCTGTGACTCTGGCATTGCGGGGATGTGGTATCAATTTACCTTCGGCTCCCCTCTCCCCCTCCCCCAAAGCGCGATCGTGGTAGGGGGGAGCCACCGCATATACTTCCCGAAACGGGGGTGGGCCAAAGATGAACAGTTGGAGATAAGCCTTGTTATCAATGCTGCTACCTACTTCGAGCCGGCCGAACGGGACCGTGGTAGAATTCCTAGAGGTTGTCTCCTGCAATCCGATACCGGGTTGCTCAACGCCAATACGTGAATATGAGTACGTGTTAGCGTTCAGCATTCCCCATCCGGGCCAATTTGTCTGCCACTTTGTTTATCTGGTATACTCGGCAAACAACCCCCCCACCCCACTCTCCCCTACCGGCGGTAGTCTTGCCGAGCACAATGTGGAGATCCCGAGATTCCCGAGCATTCTCTTCCGCGAGTTGATACAAGACAAATCTAGACCCAGTCCCGGCCCCCTTGAAAGTTGGGTTTCTCATACGCGAACGAGCGAGCCATACCTAATAGCTCTCTCATGGGTGGAGGAACATAGACGATCTCACGTGCTACCTGATACCCGCCGGATTTGTTGAGTATCTCTACCCAATCACCAGGCGATATCAAGTAGCGGCGGCATACATGTATTACGTACGTAACAGCGGTCCTAGCTATAACAACGTGGGTGTTTGTAGGATGCCTTACTAACGATATAGGTATGGTTGAGAGCTAGCCTGGGGTCGGCTTTGGTGGGAATGCGGCAGGTAGGGGGGGATGCGGTGAATAGCATGAGGGGTTATACACATTGATGGTTGCCGTCCTGCAAGCCATGTCCATTTTAGGGTATGCAAACCGCTGGTTCCAGGTTCGTATATGTGTATACTAGATAGTTATAGGCACTCTGTTACGGTGGCAGGTACAACAAGATATCTGTTTGTGGCATCGGGGCATATATTATAACTAGTGAGACAATCATACATCTCAACAACCCATTCGAGCTTCTCTGGGACCAAGAGGTCTTGATGTTTTGGCACTAACAGCTCCCGATCTAAGTAATGACGATAGAAGATAATGATGAAGGAAGGGGTGTTGCTGGTCAAGGTTGTCCTGGCTATAAAACGATTTGTACCGGGCTATTCTTTGAAATGTGCCCATACGTTCCTCTTTGCCAGCGACACTTACTGGCCTGCCCTTCAGTAGTATTGGATGGTAACTTAGTAGCTAAAGTATAGCCTAGGCGTCCTAAGCAGGGGAATAAGTACTTACACAAGTCCCTTTAACAATAAACTATAAGGGAAGCTTCAAGACACGTTACAGGCTCTACCTATCTTCACTTGGAAGCACTGCTTAGGGGCTCATAAGTCTACCGCAGCACTTCCAAACAAAGCCCGGGAAAGATATGACTGGAGAATATTAAAGGCCATAACTTGAGGCTGGGAAACAAAATTCCAACCAAGTGATGCGGTGGACCAAGATGCGGGTTGCAATTTTGGGCTTTGCTGTTATTAACTCCCTCTCCTTACCTATTACGTTTTTGAGGCAACTAGTAGCAATACCTAAGTATGGTAAAGAGACAGCGGATGTCGATAATAGTTAAGAATATGACGGTCTCCCTGGCCTCATCTCCACGTAAGTAGGAAACCCCCTATAACCCATATGAACCGGTAAGCCTTCTGATCTGCTATATTTAACGGATCAGCAGGCATATAACCAATGAATACTGCAAGGTGGCTTGTAAGCCGAATACTCCAAGCTAGCACAACAATACTTTGGACGGTAGTACGGCTGATAGAGCCCCTTGCCCCTTGCTGAGTAACGGGGGGCTCAAGTCTTTAACGATGCCCCCTCAGGGCTACGGGCGATGCTGGTTGATGGAGATTAGCCAGTATGCCTGTTCGTTGAAGAACCAGCAACTCGCTTTACATATGTAAAGAGGATGCTAAGAACTGAGCCCTTGTCTTATACATAGCAACTTCCGTCATCCACACAGAGAGGTGCTCCATAGATCATAATAAGTGAATTAGTTATCGGCGTATTACTCGGGATAGTAATATATCTAATTAGATGTAGTTGATTATTATGGCTCAAGGCGTCCGAAAATATCATGAGCGGAGACGTGGTAATGTGGCACCGATACGTAACCTTGCTCCCTAAGGCTCAACTTGGGTTGGATTCTGTCAGGATAACCTCGCTAGGAAACCGATGGATCGGAATACGTAATAAGTGAACTAACCATCTTACTTCCTTCGCGCCCATCAGGCTGGCTATAGAAAAGAGACAATACTCCCTCGGGAATGCCTGCTGAGCCACTGTGATCCTCCTCACCGCATATAGGTATAAGTGTAATCGTCTACGGGAACGCCCCCTCCTCCTACCTACGCAGAATAGAAGTACTAGGCCTACTGAGGTAAGCATGCAGGCGCGCGTTACTCCCTCGTGATCGGAGGCTGCCGACCACATACCTGCGTTCCGAAGATGGCCCCCTGACCCCGGCGCTGCTTCGCGCGATTGATAAAAAGGGGTGAGGCGGGGAGGGGGAGGGGGGGGGGGGGGAAGACCGGGGATACGGCTGTACGATCTCGGAGATTTGGGACGAGCCGCAGAGTATGTAGCAAGGAAAAGCGCAAGGGAAAGCCACACGGCCCAATGGGAAATGGGCTCAAGGGCAGGGCCGAGGTGGATTGGTTAAGACGGGGGACTGCTTCTGAAAGAGACAACGCGTCAGCTCCATATTCCGTACTCCGCCCAGCTCGTCTATACTTGCCATACTCGACTACCTTGCCTACGTAACTGTCTCATCGCTCTGAAACGATATGCGTAGCCGTGTTATTCTGGCAGTCCCGGTCTGGGGATAGAACGATTCCGCCGTAGGTGAGCGTCTCAGGATGGACTGGGGGTCGGCAAGCACTTGTCGAGAGGCCTAGTCGGTTGAGAGAGAGGCGCGCGATTAGGCAGTGATGTTAATGCATGACTCTTCTCCTTCGGCGGCGGTTCGATCTTAGAAATGCCCCCTAGCGACCGGAGCTGAGGAGAAGGTTGCTCGGAGGGCGAAAACCGCTCCCCTCGGCGCCTCTAGGTGCCTAAGTCCGGGAGGCGACGGATCAACTGCTCACGGGACCGCGCAAAGTCTCACACGTAGGGCTCAGAAGTGGCAAGGTATTGGTAACAGTATGAACCCAAGGTCTCGACATACTTAAGGTACCTATCTATACGGGGAGGGGGGTTCGTCGACATCGTGTTTCTATGCCTTGACATAATGTCCGCACTGACATTGTAGTGAATGAAGTACGGCATCCCTTGCCATAACTCTATCGGCCCTCTCGCAATGATGACCTTATTTAGTTATCCTTACCTTACCTGCTTAGTTTTACCGTGTCAACATCTCGGTACCATTGCAGACGTACTGTCGATGGACCTTGTCCCTCCCGGGGTGGTACCTCTAGGTAGGTAGGTATGTACCTCTAGGCAGGCATGTAGGTACCTATGCACTGTACCCTGTGAGTATAGCATATGTATATTAAGCATGCAGATTTGACGTGAATGTCGTCTAGACTGTGAAATAATATTGAAGCCGACATTATATCTGTATGGCAAATTTGGTAGGTAAGTATTTCGGTATATTACCTACCTACCGCTTAGAGCCGAGGCAGCGGCACATGCACCTACGTCCTCACAGGAGGCACCTACATACAAGGTAGCAATGGGCGAAGCGCCCGCTGCGTAGATTATGTAGGTACGTACCTCTCTAAAGGGTTGTGTGCCTAAGGTATCACTCGCGTCCGGCTGCTCAATCGTATGATTGAAGACTTAGCAGGACGTCCAGGATGTTGACAGGGCCAACGGAGCGGAGCTCGAGCCGTACCTAGGTAGTAATACGGGACTCGTAACCGCCTATCGCCATTTCTGAACGGGGAGAGGGGAAGCAGTGGCCGAATTTGCCTATACAGATATATACCTACCTAGGTAGGTAAGTATTGCGCAGATATCTAGGTATACAGGGATATATATACATACCTACGTATTCTACGTGGTAATGGGGGGAACTGTGGGTTAGGTAAGGCAGGTATGGTACCTACCTACCTAGGTACATACTATGCACTGATGTTAGGTGGTAAGGTAGTTTATTTCTTGGCCCATGCAGCGGAGATTTGGGATCCATTAGCTCCCCGGATGGTGTCTTATAGCAGTACCTATTAATACGCCCCAGCGTGTAAAGTCCAGCCCGGCCGATCCCATCCACGGGATGGCGGGCTATTCCGGAAAGGAAGACGGTGTATTTCGCTCATGATTAGCGAGACAGGCGGCTCGTCAATACGGCTCACAGCCAAGTAGGTAGGCCCGCTGTCGATCTGGCTTCCGCGGGCTCCTCTCCCCCCTAGTAGGGGCTGAGACGGAAGAGAATGTCCGCAGCTGCCTGCATGTTCCGAAGTACGGGAGAACGCGGGCGCGGCGAAGGTGCTGATGGCAAATATAGCGCACATCTGGATTACCTACCAGCACCTCCTCCTACGGCCTCCCACGGAGGTTGCCTCTGCCTGAGCTATATATCTAACCGTTGCCCGTTAAGGCTCTACTGCTGCCTTAGGTAGCTTGGGTAGGAGGAAGAGCAGGTATGTTAGGTACCTAACCTACCTAGGTACACACCCGCCCACTGTACCTGGTGGATGTGTATGACACTACCTGACATTACCTCTTGTTGTCTTTCGACGGGTTCCCGCCGACCGCCGCCGCTTCTCGCACGTGCTATATAATAGCGTGCCAATATATATATATATATACATATCTCCTCAGCAGAGTACGTGGGTACTACTGAGCACGCGGCAGCAGCAGTGCGCGGCCAGGCATTTGGCGAGGCTGTGGCATCCTGTTTGAGGCCTGGGGATTTGGCGCGCGGACGTAGCCAATCCGGCCCCCTCAGGATCTCCCGGGTGGAGGGCGGCGCCGGGCCGGCCAATCACGGACCGTGGCAGCATCTAGATCCCCCGGGCTCCTTCTTCCTAACGCTGCGAAGCGAGGGTCGTACGATGTTGTTCTCGTCAGCCTCGCAAGTGGCCTGATTCCTCGGCTTTCCACCCCACATGACATCTGATTCTAGACCCCCCCCAAGGAGAAATCAGGCCACCTTGGTCGAGGCGTCCGACGGTCTCCCTCGTGTACCTGCGTACCTACTCTACCTGGGTACTTGCTCCGGCTTCCTCTCTCTTTTTTTTGGTTGGCTTTTTTTTTTTTGCCGCTTCGACTTCCCTGAATTCTGACAGGCCCGCTGATGAGATTTACCGTCCAGACAAGATCCCCAAGCTGGCCTCTGCGGCCATCAGCCCACAATGTGGACATCGTGGGATCTTTTCGTCCTCGAGGTCCTTCATTTTCCCGCTCTTCCTCCCTACGCACGCCCCCCCTCCCCCCCTACCGGCGCCGCTGTTGGACTGGGGGTGTGCTGGGGATTACTAGGAAATTCTCGGAGCGGCCATACGAGCCAACGCTCTCTCCCCCTCCTCCTCCCCTTGAGAACACGACCTGGCGCGGGGACGTACCGCGTTATGTAGCGGCAGGAAATTGGCTCTGTCTTTGCGGGATCGATCGTGGGTGCTGTCGCCGGTGCTGTCGTCGCCGGAGCACAGCTTGCTATCGCGGGTACCTGTCATCGCGGGTACTCGTCGTCGTGCGTACAATCATGCGTAGTGCTATGTAGCTCGGATGTAGGTGTTGTCTACTTAAAGGTGTTGTAGTGTCGTAGGCGTCATTACGTGTCGTCTGTCCCTCGTTTCCTCCTCCTCCCTCCCCCCCCCCTTTTTCCCATCCCCCCCCCTCCCCCCTCCCTAGCGTGCTGGCTCATCGGGATGGCCCTTTGGGGTCCGGCTTGGGTATTTTTTTTTTTATCTGAGCGTCTCCGTTGCTCTGCAGCGTCAGGCCATAATTCATTGATGGTAACTTGCACCCATGCACCCGTCGGGCGGTCTCGGCCATCGTGCGCCTCGACACCTCCCCTGGTCAGGCCGACGGTAGAGGATCTGATTCTTATTCTTTAATGGACGAATTCTCGAATTCCCATTCCCATCTCATCATCATCACATACACCATACCATCCTACCCAAAAAGACACCTAAATAACCTGCCAACCGAACTAAACTAAACCCACCAACCAACCCATCTATCCTATATTCATTTTGCACACCTATATACCTGCCTGCTCATCGATCGTCCGTTCTCTCGCATCGTTTGATCTCTTCACCACTGTGGCATTATTTGTGATATCATATCTTCCCATCGGCCACTGTCGGGACCTCTAAGCGCGTGTGTGGCTTGCTCGCTTGCTCGCTTGCTCGCTCTCTCTCTCCCTGCCTCGGTGGCTTTCTCCCTTGGGCACGAACCTCATCCAACCCCACGCACACGCACACGCACACGCACACACACAACAACCCACCGGCGCATATTCACACATCGCAAATCGGCACGAACCGCACACGCACACGCCAGCTTCGCGCGCCTTGCCTAGCTAGCATTGTATCGCGATAAGAGCGCGGCCAACGTGGCGATTTTGGACGCCTCACAAACCCTGCTTGAGCTTGTCTGCTCTCTCTCTCCATCGACCCAGCTCCGCATCCCGTCGAGCCTTGTCCCGGGTATCGCATGATAGCGCCCGCATCGCTTTGCGAGTCCCCAGCTTTCTGATCACCGTCCATTAGTGGGATCCCTTCTCGCCTCTTATCTTGGAAACCATCGCACTTGAGGCACAGCGTCACCAAAGACCGGCTGGTGACCCTTGAATTGCGGTACATTTCGTCATGGACACAGGTGTCATGCAAGACATCGACGTCTATCCTGGCAACGACAAGGTATGTCCGAACTATTTATGGACTCTGTGAAGTCATAGTCTGGACCTCCAACCAAATATTTAAGAAAAGAAATCCAAAATAAAAGCCTTCCCCTAACACCAACCCCCCCCCTTAGACCTTCGAGACATTCTTCGACCAAACCACGGACTACTCTCAGCAGCTGTCATCGATCAGCTTCTGGGACGAACTAGACAGGTCGGCCCAGTCCAGTGTTGTCAACTCGGCACCGACTACCACCTCCCACCAGACCCCCAGTACCTCAGCCGACTCCCCCGCTTCCACCGCCTCCCAAAACCTCTCTACCAACTCGCACAAGCACAAGCTCCCCGGCCAAGAGCTACCCGGGAAGCGCCAGTGCTCCGACGTCAGAAGGTCTCGATTCGCTCAGGACCCTTCCGCCCTAGATTGCTCCGACTATTGGCTTCGTTTCGATAGCGATAACGAGAGCGAGCCCCTGTTCCGCGACAACCGGGAAGGCAGAACCGTCCGGTCTCCCAATCTAGCCCACCCTCACCCAAGGTCGCGGATTGTCGGGAGACCCGGCAGCTTCAAAGTGGCTTATCCGCCCTCTTCAACTGCCGAGTTGGTCGACGATAGCGCTCTGGATCACGCGCTGTCGGACGAGGACGACCTCTTCTCTATGGCTCTGGCTGACCAGCTAACCAAGACCGAGTCTGCCCCCGTGCCTTCGGAAGTACCGCCACGAGAGAGGCTCTACTCTACGCCCTTGAGCTGGGAGCCGCCGCAACCTGGGTTCCGCATGGACTACGTAAACGTGAACCCCCCCTTTGCCGACCCCGAACGCCAGCGGCTACTCGCCATTGCCATGGGTACTGGACAGGCCCCGCAACAGCAGACTAACTCGAGACAACCACCCGGGATGGATTTCCGGTTCGAGATCAACCAGAGTCCAACCACGATGAGCGACAGCAAAAGCAATACCCCCGAGCCTCGCGTTAAGCCGGTAGTAACACGGCCCCAGGCGCCCTCCCGGGCCAACTCGACGGAAGCCGTCGAGAAAGCCAAGGAGAAGCCGAGGAATAGCGACCGGGCCGCTCATAACGATATTGAGCGAAAATATCGGACCAACCTGAAGGATAAGATCGCCGAACTCCGGGACGCTATCCCGTCGTTGCGGGCCATACCCGAGGATGGGGACGATAACGAGAATCCGGGTGGATCGAGAACGGCCCCTAAAGTCAGCAAGGTGCCTCCCCCTCTAAATGTTTTTTTTGTTCATGAGTGAGAGCTGACGAAAACTATAGGGCACCGTCCTAACTAAGGCGACCGAGTACATTCACCAACTTGAGCGGAGAAACCGGTCAATGGCCCAGAAGAACGAGGAGCTCGCACGTCGGTTGCATGCCTTTGAGCAATTAGTCGGCGCTGCCCCCGCACCAAATTGGGCACCCCAGGGATACGGTGCTTCCGTCTTCAACCCTCGAGCCTTCTCGTAGGGTAGTTGACCCATCGTCTTTGCCTTTCCAGAAAGCCTCCTCTCTATGCATCGATCATCCTTGGGGTCGAAATAACTGTCCTCAAATCACCACTCAACCTCCACACCCATCTTTGGAAATCTCACCATTTTCAACACCGACAAATATAGCAAACCACGATGGCGACGCGAGCACACATCTTGCTTTAACTATGATACCCAATCTTTGCAACCCACCTGGATAGAGAGCTGGGCTTGATAGCCATGGAGTTAGCAATCCGATATTGAACTATTTCCGCAACAACACAGAAATTACGACAGGAAAGAGGTGGCCCCAACCTTTCCGAGGAAACCAGTCGCCCCACTACCGATAATTAGCACCACCTCGCCCCACTGCATATACCATCTTCTGCATGAAGGCATCGGAGTCCGGTACATAACATGGTCGGGTTGCATATTGGGGAAAGATCCAACTTTTTTTTTTTTAAACCAGTCTATAGGAGGGATCCATTTTCCCGGGGAAGGGTTATATATATATCGACCGGGTATAGCTTGTGGCGTTCTCGGGGTATAGTGTCCGGGGATTCTATGTTCCCCCCCGGCAGTTGATGGGCAACATCACTATTGTGTGCCTATGTTGACGAAGGGAATGGAGGCGGGGGGGGGGGGAGGGAAAAAAAAGGAGGGGCGCGGCCGATTTCCAATATACCAATTTATTACTCCCTCGCCATGAAAAGGCCTTATTCTCTTCTGTTCCAAACTCCCAAAACGAGTAGTAGTGGTGGCAGGCGGTTTTTACTAACAGCGGATCCTAAACCCGCGAGTTCTATATCGCTCAGCCTTATACAAGTAGCTTTGCGATGAATGATACATTGTTCTCTTGGTGAGGATATACTACGTAGTAAGCTCCCTCTGCATTGGCCGGGACTCTACTTCATAAAACGGCATATTCGAATGTTGAATCCCTAGTCATCCTTGGTCCTTGCTAGTTGTAAAATGGGGCAAATCGTGGGTCGTGTCGCTTACGCGAGCGAGTGGAAGGTATGAACATCGGTTTTACTGTTGCTGAGTAGATATGGCACGATAGAATTTTAACTAGATTACTATAGGATGATGTGAGTATTAGCGTGTCAAGGTGTTTTCTAACATTTGTATTCTAATACTGCCCCCTTGCTAGGCGTGTCACATGAACACATGCGTATTGCCGCCGGCCGAGAGATTCCTTAAGTTATTTCCGGAGGACTGGTATCCTAGTTAGGCATTGAATCTCTCAACGCCTCGATGTCATCGACTTCTTTGGCTGCCTCTGTGGTTAGGATTAGGGGACTATCCTCGCCTACGCATACGCTGTCCTCGATCCGGATACCTAACCCCCTGAAGGCCGCCGGCCACCGGTCGTCGTCTGGGACGTAGATGCCGGGTTCTACAGTGACGCAATGCCCCTCTTTCAGAGTCACATTGCGCGGGTACCCGGGCACGTCATGTACGTCCAGCCCAATATAGTGCCCAACGTGGTGGGGGAATAGGATGCTTAGGGCGTCGCCGCTTACGTCGAAGCCGAGCTGCCGCAGCGCGTCGCGGAGGGCCGTCTCCGTGATGCTGTGTAGCTTGTCTAACGTGACGCTGGCGCTGGCGCGGCAAAGTGAGATCGACGACCGCTGAGCGCGAAGGACGGCGTTGTAGAGGTCCTTCTGCGGCTCGGTGAACTTTCCCGACACCGGCCATGTCCGTGTTATGTCCGTGATATACGTCCCGTACTCGCCCCCTGCATCAACGACGACGAGTTCTGAATCGTCCAATACCCCATTGTTTTGCACGTAATGGATGAGCAGTGCCCTGCTGCCTCCAGCCACGACGGGGATGTATGCCTGCCCGTCGAGGCCCGACTGGTGGTACTGGTATTCCAAGAACGTAGCAATGTCCTTTTCATACTTCCACGGCCGGCGCATAGCCTCAGTCAGCGCCCGACCTGACGCCTGCCCCGCGCGGCGCATGTTTGCTATCTCGGCTGGCCCTTTAACGACACGGAGGCTGTTAACGCGAGGCTTTAGAGGCGCCGTCGCCGCCCCCGGGGCCGCCGAACGCACGAGACCTCCAAACTTTGTGGGAATGCCATCCTTAACCAGCTCAGCATCTGTGAAGATGGTAGTCACCCCTCTCAGTATATCGGCCAACGAACTCTCGACCTGGCTTATGTCGCCTACCTCATCTGCGTTCCACACATCCCTCGCGGCGTCGAGGCCGCTCCAGGGACCGCTCCACTGCTCGGCATCCCGGTTCTTCGGCCGACAGTAAAGCCGGAATACGTAATCGTCAGAGCCGTCACCCGTTCTTCTCAACACGGCAAGGGAGTCTGGCTCAGAGAAGCCGGTTAGATAGAGGAAGTTGGACTCTTGGCGGAAAGGGTAAAAGACGGCGCCGGACCGGTATAGGACAGTGGCGGAGGGGAGAAGAACGGCGGAGTTGGCGGGTAAAGAGCGACAGAGCGATGCGCGGCGTTCGTGGTATTCCTGAGCCGTAATGCCCGGGGTGATTTCGCCTTCCTTCAGGAGGTGCGGGTGTGTCTCGTGGACAGGCTGACCGAAGATGAGCTTGGAGGCGTGGATGGGCTTCGCATGAGATTGGTAGGGGCGCGCGTGTGGATGAATAACACATCTTGACCTCGAGGGGTTCGAGAATGAGCTTAGCACCCGAGGAGGGGAGGGGTGGGTTGACATGTGCCGTGGTGACTGGACAGGGTAGGAAGAGCTGGAGTGTCGTCCGAGCCGCTGTTGGGGCTGCCTTAACGGCAGCTGTCGAAGCCGCATGAGGATGAGCTGTGGGAGGCAGGGGTCAATCGCATGGCTTTCTCATCGTATGGCTTGAGACAGCCTGGTGTATGTGGATAGACGATGTTAAGCTTGGATAGTCAGCCTGTGTGGGCGGCGAGAATCCTGCGGCAGAGGTAGGTAGGTATGGTGAGGGACCGGAGATCTTATAAATGCATAAAGATGAGGATGCATAGGTTACTAGGTACCCCTCTCCTCCTAGACACCTGATGTTACGGAGCAACAGCACATCCTTGAGCTGATTTAGGTACTGAAAGGAGGTACCTATTGGATTGATAGGAGGTGTGGGCAGGTATGTACACCTCGATATGTACTTACACAGTATAGGTACACAATTGAGGTACTTGCGTATCCACGGTGATGTCAAACAGGGGTGGGTCCTGCCACCAGTTCTTGTTGATTTAGAGAAGGGGGAAAAAAAAGACGGTAAGATTAGGGTAGTCACGTCTGGGAAAAAAAAAACAACCTTATACTTGCCTGGGTACGTACATACTCTCCAACTGCACACTAAACACTGATACCTACGTCCTCATCAGCTTCAAGCTTTCTACCTCCCACTCTCGTCTTCCACCCCCTCCAACCCCCATCCCCTCTCCGGGCACATCGGATTCCGGGTCGTTATTTTGCATCCTTCGGTCAATCGAGCCCTTCAAGCACTTCCTTAACGCCTTCGATCGGCTTCGATGTCCCTCTGATGCCCACTATCCCGTCCGTGTCGTGTCTCCAATTCCAGCGCGTTGTGCCACGCTTTGTCGCGTGCTAAACCCGCTCTCTCTCTCTTCTCCCTCTCCCGGTACACGCACACAAAACACGCATACACCCGAACCCGCACCCTCGCCCACCCAAACACCCATCCTTTTCTCGCTCATCCTCCAGCTCCCTTCCCACCTCCTAGTCCAACCATAGCAGTGTCGATGCTATTGGTCTAAGGCCTCATCCGTCTCTGGTCGGCTACCTGGGTCCAATCCACCGAGACTCTATAATAACTACTACTACTACTTCTACTACTACTACTACTACTACTACTCGGTATTTATTTGTCGGCCGATGCTGCTGTAGTCGGCCTTCCAAATTCTTCGGTCATCCACGTATTCAGATCACGCAGTACCCTCTGCAGCATATGCTAGTTGGCCATTTATATGGCAACTGCATCTTTATCCCCGGCTCCCATACCGATACCCGCCATGTCCGGAAGACGAATCCCGCTATCGTCAAACCAGAACATTGCCAATTCCCCCATTCGAAGCTCTGCTTTGCTTGGCAAGCAGAAACGATCCTCTGCTCAACTGCAGCGAGAGGATCAATATGGCCAACCACCCCCAGCCAAGAGGCAGATCGTGGAGAGCGGCAGCCAACGCTTGTTGAAGTCGCCTTCGCACCAGAATCGAGTTACGAAAAGCCAGATCCCCGTACAGACGCGCCGCAATGCCAACAGCTACGAGAGCAAGCTAGCAAGGGAGCGATCCGGACAGCACCAACAACAACAACAACCACCTCCCCCGGTTGCGGAGCCTTTAACATCTAAATACAACGAAAAGGATATAGAAGAGATCCGAAATTGGCAACAACACCATCGGGCCAGGTTCCCCAAATTGGTCTTCTATTTCGAGAAGGTCCCAAGCGATGCCCATAAGAAGCTTGCTAAACAGATCACCCTCTTGGGTGCTGTAAGTTACCGAGATCCTCTAATTCTGCTAGCAGTTCGTGACTCGCTAAACCCCCATCCAGCGCGAGGCAGCTTTCTTTTCCATAGAAATCACGCACGTCGTCACCACGCGCTCGATACCCTCCGAAAGGAGTGCAAGCCGCCGAGATGAGAATACGGCCGTGGAGAAGCACACGGGCCATTGTCAGGAGCAGGAGCAGGTGAAGACTATCAACCCCTCACTATTATCCCGGCTTTCCGAAGCCTCCGTCAGGCGGAGGGCCTTGGAGGGCGATATCCGCACTCGAAAGACGCCGTCGCATGCCCAGGACGAAACAGCCAACCAACCCAAGCGCAACATGGACGTTTTGCTCCGGGCCAGGGAGATGGAGAAGAAGATTTGGTCACTAGAAAAGCTGCAGCGGATGATGACTTTACTGCTCGAGACGGACCCTTACGTTAGCGCCGAGATCGCATATGGAACCCGAAAGGCGATCCATCCGGAACCTCGGACCACCGAAGACCATAATCTGCTGCGTCTTCTCCACAACGAGCGCGTCAACGGGCCGTCAGATCGCGATCCTACTGTCAATGCTCGGGAACTGCACCACTTCAAGGGCCCGTACCTCTATGTATACGATATTGAGGAGAAACAGAAGCCCATCATGGTAAGGGAGTACCAGAAGGTTGCTGACAAAGCAAATGGAGAGTGGCCTCAATTTCGGACTGCTGCGTTGGGGCGCTGCCCCTTCGTCGACGAGTACGAATCTAGAGATGTTCGACCTCAGCCCAAGCCGAAGAAGGCCCAGGTGGCCAAGACCGTCGCCGAGGCGAGACCTGCCCTACAACCCCCGAAGATGGCGCCCCCTAAGCCGGTAACTGGGAAGCGATCGTTGGGCGAGATGGAGAATGGCCACTGCCGTGGCTCGAGTGTTGCATCGATTGAACCGCTTAACCCAACTAAAGTCTCCTTTAGCCGCATTGCTGACGGCCGTCCTAATGCATTTACCGGTCGCGCCCCTCCTGGACGTCTGTTTGGCGGGGAGCCTGTTGCCTCTGGTGTCCAGCCTTCTAACGTCACCTCGGCGATTCGGTCCCAGATGGTGTCTTCGACCGCGACAACGCCAGGTGTCATCACCGGCCTAAGCAAGGAAGTCCACGGTCTTCAGCGCCAGGTTCTGAAGCGTAATAGTACTGCCACGTCACAAGACTTGAGCTCCCGCCGGAATGTAGAGTTGAGTTTCCAGGACGACAGCGCAGTGAAGCGGTCTTTTAGCATGGCGCGTACTTCTAGCCGGAAATGGGACTTGATCGACGAGAATGCTGCCGCTAAAGATTCCCAGGAGAGTGACAAGACCATCTCACGACCCGAAAGGCGCGCCCTGGAGAAGTCTAAGAAAAGAGATCTGAAGCCGGGCTACTGCGAGAATTGTACAGAGAAATACTCCGATTTCGATGAGGTAAGGGTTGAACATGAGGCCTGTCTCTTGATGTCCCCTCCTGGCTTAGACTGCTAACGGGTTGTCGTGCAGCACATTGTGTCCAAAAAGCACCGCAAGTTTGCCGACGACGACGAGAACTGGGTCGAGCTGGATGACCTCCTTTCCCAGCTTCAGCGTGCGCCCAGGCATAAACAATTTTCATCTTGGACGCCGTCTCTCTTAGAGTATGATGAAGCAGACTAATTCACCCCCGGCGCCATCATCTATTCCTAGCGGCAGATGAGGAGCCGCCTTTCGTCTCGCTTTGCTTCGCTCTCCGCATATATTAGTTGCCCACCATACGACTACCGCCGGAAACAACCGATTCTGAACTATTCTCTTTTCTCTTCATATTTGTCCCAACCCCTGGACCTTCGCGGCGCGATGATACCCCTCTTACTACCTCGACGGCTTTCCTCGCCACCCCTTGATCCTCGTTTTCAAGCAACACAATCTGGCTCCCAAAGTACCTGGCATCTGGCGGCCTGGCATGGCATGGCATGACACGGAGTCCTAGCATTTCTTTGTTGGATTTACTACTAGTTTATATTTCGTGGTGGTATTCTGTAGTGATAGATGGCCCGGCTAAGCACTTCCTCATTTCTCGTGCACCGGCCTGACCCTCATTTTGGGGAGGAGGTGGGGGCTTGCGCTTGGCTGCGTTGAGGAGTAAACGTCAACTGTAAGTAAGGTCCGGCATAGCTTTATAAAGGGGCTGCGGCATAGGCGCTATTGAGGGTTGATAATCACGACTGGAACCAGCTTCGGACATGACAGCAGGCAGAATTTGGCATCGACGAAGCAATGGGTGTGGATATATCGCTGGATCGTGTATGTTTAAGTAGTAGTCTATACGAGAAGGGGAATCGATGTAAATTCTAAGCTTCCGTCCACAGCCACCCGGAAGATATTCTTCTAAAGAGAGCAGCATATGAAGATCGGCGTGATTAGCCGCCGTGGATCAGAGAGTTCCGTGGTGTATTTTCAAATGCTTCTCGGCACGGTCAACTACACGTAAATTTAGGGGCGAACCGTAGGTGCCTTGATATTGGTGGAGCTAAGCCACGTCGGCTTAGCCTACAGCACCCGTTAAATGCACAGTAACCCCAAGGCCTGCATATACCACGGGTTAGGGTACCTACGTACATCCACTATATCTGTTATATCGCTGGAGCTCGTTATTAACATGTAAAGATTGGGTCCCTTACCGGGGTCATATACTTTTAAAGGGGCCCACGTTTCTCGCCCCGCGCGCCTTCGTCCGTTTGCTCATCTACCTACCTCATCCAAACTTCTTATACCTCGTTCCCCCACATCCTCACCGACAAGGAGATAGGTCAGCATCTCACGCGGTCCATCCTCATTCTGGTGGCCGGGACCAAAGACCACAGAGGAAGAAAAATAGCTGCGGCCTCAGCAGCCAAGCGAATCCCGCACACGGCCCGAGATGGATCCCACAGGCGTTCCCGCTGGGCAGTCTTCTCCGTCGCCCCCGGCCTCTCCCGTGCCGGACCGATCCGGATCGCCGGAGCTGCCACTTACCATGACCGCTTCAGCCGTGCTCACTGCACTTCCCCGGGACGCGAGCTCGGCTCTCGCTAGCGCCGGCGAGTTTGATCGCGATCGAGTACTTATCCGCTTCAAAGCCGTCGGGTCAGCCCCGCAGCTCAGGCAAGAGGTGCGGAGGATACAAGCGGCGCAGAAGTTCGAGGCCGTGGTGTCTCATCTACGCAGGCTGCTGCACCTCGGCCCCACCGATGGCTTGTTCCTCTACGTAAACAGCGCGTTCGCCCCGTCTCTGGACGAAATTGTCGGCAATTTGCACAGGGTACGTCTGGGTCTCGTTATGTCTCGGGTTGTCTCTTGGGATGCTGACGGCTCTCGCGGCAGTGCTTCAGAGACTCAAACGATCAGCTAATTGTAGCGTATTCAATTACTCCCGCATTTGGATGAGCTATCTCGCGGTCCTAAAACATCACGGTTCTAGGGCACTCTCCCCATGCGCTTATAAATGCTACTACACCGAGAAGCGTGACACTTCTATTGCCTTCAGTTATAGGTCGCATGACACCCAGTATAGCTGGGGTTAGTATCTTCCCACGCCGTCGATAAACGCCTGAAGCTCTTCCTTGACAATGGGGTAAGTGTGCTCCGGCGCCGGATATCGGCGTGCCTTCACCTCCTCTCGGTAGCACTCGATCGCCTTATAGCTTTCCGCCCAGACATCGCCGTACTTTTTCACGAACTTGGGGATGAACCGGCCGGGCGGGAAATACCCCGACATGTCAACTTGAACAAGCACTTGGCCAGAACATCCATTGCCAGCGCCTATCCCGATAGTCGGGATAGAAAGCTTTTGCGTGATGATAGTAGCAACCTCAGCCGGGACGGCTTCTACGACCATGGCGAAGCTACCCGCCTCCTGGACGGCCAGTGCGTCATCAAGGACCCTCATCGCGCCTTTCGACGTCTTCCCCTGGACTTTAAATCCGCCGAGGGAGTGTTGGCGCTGGGGCGTCAGTCCGACGTGGGCTAGGACGGGTATACCGGCCTGGGTTATCTTGGCAATTGCCGGGGCCATTTCCTTGCCGCCCTCCAGCTTAATGCCCTGGACGCGACCTTGCTTAACGAATTCGATGGCCGTTTCTAACGCCTGCTCTGGTGAAATTTCGTACGAGCCCATGGGAAGATCTCCAACCTGGCGTTTAGGGTATACGGTTAGCGGCCGCTATTCAAGATCGGGTGGTGTGACCTTACCGTGAACGCTGCCCTGGTAGCGCGCGCGACGGATCGACAGTGCAACAACATATCTTCGACCGTTACCTCACTTGTGTCTTGCATGCCCAGGGCAACCATAGCCAAACTATCACCGACAAGTATGATGTCCATTCCGGCAGCGTCAGCAACATGAGCACTCGGGAAATCATGGGCGGTCATGACAGCGATGGGTTCCCCCTTCTTGTACATAGCTTGGAGGCTGCTAAGGGTCACCTTCTTCCTCGCCGGACCTGATTGCACAGTCAGGGGCGAGTGAGAACTCCATCGCTGTTGAGAGGGTGGCCGGAGCCGCGGTGACGACAAGAAGAGCCTGCCAACAGCGAAAATGGCATATGACCCAGTTCCGGAGCACGGCAATCGAGCACGTGACCTTGACAAGACAAGCGCCATGGTCATGAGTATGTGGCCGGGCCCGCGGAGTGGATGAAAGTAGGCGATGTTTCTCTATGGGTACTAAATAAATACAATGGAGAGTCGTCCGGGTGTTGGGGAGGGAAGCGTTCAACAGTGGGCGTGGCATAGAATTGCTCGCGGTTTTATTCTCTAGTCATGATGGTTTTTGCTGCGTACAATTGAGTCTCTCGACGACGTTGTTTTGTTGTTCACAATTCCACTAGCTCACTTACAGTTAGTGGGGAAAGCAGATTGACCCAATTCCCTCTCCAAACCTCACCTCAGCCTCTGACGATTGGGCAAGAAAAGGGTCCGCCGCGGGACACGGGAGGTAAGTTTGAATGGTGATGCTTGGTGCTATGGGTGCGTCAGAGCACTTCGCTGCACTCTGTGCTTCTCAGTTACCTACGTTTCTGCTGCATGGATAAAAACATACCTACGTACCTCCTCCAAGGCTAAGGGAAAGGAGCTGTGTATATAAGTAACCAATTGCGCAAGCTTGATTTTTAATAAAGCTTAGTAATACCTATGAGAATAACGCAAAAGGAAACCTCAAAATGAGATAAGAAAACTTATAATGACGTTTAGCTTAATTAAATATATAAATTTTATTTAAAAATTAATTAATATTTCAAATAACATACCGTACCTTAATATGCATATGTATGTTAGTATAGTTAGGTTAATATGTATCATATTTACTTAACGAGTACAGGCCTTTATTTCAAGAAAATAATAAAATAGGTTGGTTGCTTACTGTTTAGTTAAGTTCTTTTCGCCCCCCTCCCCGTATCCTCTACGGCACGTCTCTCAGTTACAATCGCTCCGTGCTGTCTCGGGAATCGGACCCTTTCCCACTCGCCAGTAGGTATCTACCATGGCCTCCCAGCTGGTGATTCACGAGCCGCACGCTGCTGCTACGCCCGTCTATTTGCCTTATGAACTAGTCGCCCAGATCGTATCCGACAAGGTCTTCTCGAAAGAGGACTGGATGATCTTGCGACTCGTGTGCTGGACCTAGGAAGAATATGCGGCGTCTCTTCTATCCCGCTGCATCGATCGAGATCTCTCGCCTCGAGAAAGGCCGTACTGCTTTGATGCACGTCGCTGCGCATCCGCATCTTGCCCAGCACGTACAATAGATCATATGGCATGAGCTCGACCTATGTGACAAGGGGATCTACTTGGAATAGGTTTAATTCAACTAATAATTCTATAGGGGGTCTCTTGGGTCCTTGCTTCCCTTAAGTTTCCTAGTCTTATTCTTATTTTAATATATTCCTGAAGTACCTCCGTACCTTGGTATCTTAGTACCTTAATACCGAAGCTATTCGTAGCTTATCTAGGACTTTTCTTAGTAGGTTGCCGAAACGGCGACCTTAATACTTAATATTATCCTCCTAACCTTTATAACCTAATTATTAGTATAAGGCTTTATCTCCGTATAATATCATCTCCTTTCTTCGGAGGAGCTCGTTTTTAAGCGCGGATTAGGTACCTAGGCTTCGATAGTTAGTAGGTTTATTAAGGTTTTATTAATGGAATAACTTAACGGCTTCCTTCGCTCCTTCGGTAGTAAAGTATTCCTACGGTTCCTAAGTTTAATAGCGCTTAACCGGCTAGCCTTCCTACTTTATTAGGTACCTAACGACTTTTTCGGTTCTAACGGAATCTAATACCTTATTTACTTCGTAGTCTTCTGCCTCGATCGGGGCTACCTTTCGTAAGACCTAATTAAGGTTAGGTAGTTCTTAATTACTAACGCGGTAAGGTTCGATAAGGAATACGTAGAAGGTACTATAAATACGCTAGTCTTTCGGGAGCGTTAAGGTTACGGTAGTAAGCGAAACGATCCTCTAAATCTTAAAGGGACCGAGTATTTTCTTATTTATTTTCTTAGCCGGGCGTTTGGTTTTAATGTTACGGGTATTTAATATAACGAACTACCTTATTTTTAAAGGAGGTTTCTCTTTTTTATACTTATTCGTTTATTCTTTTATCCGCTACCGCGCCTTCTCTAAGTATTACTTAGCCTCGTTATATATCCGAATTATTTAGTAAATATAAAGGTTACTCTTTAGATTCTTAAGGGTACCTAAAGAAAGGTTATATATTATTAGGTATTACTTATAGTTAATATAAAAGGATAATATACCGGTAGTTATTAAAGCGGTATTATTATAGGTAAACTCGGTAGTAGAAAGTAAGCTTTCCTAGTCGTTTATTTCGTAGTTTACGAAGGCGCGTAAATATACTTCTAGGATTTAGTTAAGTTTCTTCGTTTATTTATCCGTCTAAGGATAGAAGGCGGTACTTATTTTAGGCTTAATTCCGAGGAGCTTTAGGACGCCTTTCTATATATAAGAAGTAAATCGTAAATCTCGGTCGGAGATAATGTTTAAGGGAATCCTATATAGCCGCTAGTAATTACGGATAAAGATAGGTATTAGGTCTTCGGCTTTTTTACCGTCCTTTTTTAACGGAATAAAGTACGTTATCTTAGTAAAGGGATTTATAATAACCCATATAAAATCGTAGCCGTTAAACATTAGTAAGTCCGTAATAAAGTCTATCGCGATTATCTACTATAGTCGGTAATATAGTTCCATAAGCTATAGTAATCCGAACGGGGTATATCGGGGTACTTTATTTTATTAGTACTCGCGATATCCCCTAACGAATTCCTTAATTATTACTTCTAGGTTAAGCTACTAAAAGTTTCGGGTAATAAGTTCTATAGTTTTATCTATACTTATATATTCCGTTACTTTAATATCGTATTCCGATTTAATTACTTCTTATTATAGGTCCTTAGGTACCTAGAAACGGTTTCGTCGATAGAAAAGGTTTTCCTAGAGCTTTATCTCTTTACCGAGTAGTTTAGTTAATTAAGCCTAGTACTCCGGGTCTTATACCGCTATCGTTTTAACTTATTCGACGAACTTTAGGATTTAAGCGGGTATTAAGATATTACTTAGTCGTACGCTAGAGAATATTACCGTAGGTAAGCCTAAATTTTTTAAAAAATACTTTTCCTATAGAACCGTCGCTATCGGCTAGTCCTTAGCTCCTCCTTTTTTAAAGCGATATTATAGTAATCTAAATAGAATATCGGCCTTTTTATTTTACTTTCCTAGGCGGTAATATATTATAAAGTAATACGAGGAAAGCTATTAAGCTTAGCGGGCTTATCGTTAATTTAATACTTTTGCCGTAATAAAGTACGTTAGGTTCTAATAGTTTAAATATACTTTTATTTAATACTAAGTACCTTCGAAATAATATCGCTACTTCTCGAATACGTCGACGATTATTAATAATTCCTTATCGTATATCTTATAATTTATTTCCGCTAGGATAAGTCGTCTTAAGAAAAAGGCTACTAGTTTTAGTCTTTCTTTATCGTCTTTTTACGAGAGAACGGCTAAAATAGCAAAGTCCGAGGCGTCGGCTTTAACGATCGGGACTCGATTAGGATCGAAATATATAAGTACCGGGGCTTTCGTAAAGGTTTCTTTTAATTCTTAAAAGGCCCTTTTTATTTCGATTTCTTATTTTTATAGCTTACGGTTCCCTTTATTAGCGTTAATAATTAGCCTAGCTATACCTAAAAAGTTACGTATAAATTTACGGTAGAAATTAGCAAACCCGATAAAGCTTTAAGAGTTCTTAAGTATAGCCGGGATACGCTAGTTAAGGATAACTTCTACTTTATCTTTAGATATAGTAATATCCTTAGGGCTTATATTATATCCTAAGAACTTAACTTCTTACGTTCGCTAGATATATTTCTTTAGGGCTACCGCTAAATGGTTTTTTATAAGCCGTTTTAAGACTTCTTTAATTAATTTATTATATTCTTCTAACGTATCGGCGTAAATTAAAACGTTATTTAAGTAAGCGATAACTCCTACGTTTAAAAGGTCGCGGAAGATATGGTTTATTATAGCTTAAAAGGTAGCGGGGGTATTAATTAATCCTATAGGTATAACCGTATATTCGTATAGCTTATAACGCGTTTTAAAGGCGGTTTTTTATTTATTACCTTCCTTAATCCGTATTATATAGAAGCTAGACTTTAGATTAATCATAGTAAACCATCGCGCCGTTTAAAATAGGTTCTATAGTTCGTTAATTAGCGGGATCGGGTATCGGACGGGTATTATAATTTTATTTAACCCCCGGTAGTTAACTACCGGTCTTAGGGCGCCCGGGTCCTTCTTATTTATAAACATTATAGATACGCCGTAGGGGGCCTTAGATTTCCGGATTCTTCTTATGGTTATTATTTCGTCGAGCTAGGGTTTTAAAGCGTCTAGCTATCGTTCGCTTATAACGTATAGGGGTCCCTACGGGGGGGTAGTTCCCGGACGAAGCTCGATAACGTAGTCCTACGGTTACCGATTAAAGAACCGTTATCCCGCTTCCTTAGTTATAATAAGGACGAAGTCGCGGAATTATTCGGGTACTTATAATAAAGCGTCCTTTTCTTTCGTAGTTCCTATACGGATCGGCCGGGGGCGATAATTCCGGCATTAAAGTAAGTTAAAATATAATCGTCCTTCCGTAAATAAACCCTAGGGAAGGTATTCCTTTATTTATTATTAGGATAGGATAGTATCGACCTCTTCGTTTAATTTACTAACTTCTTAGGCGACGGGGTAGATATATTCGTAGCTACGGAGCTTTATTTCGTTTATATACTAAAGTTCTCTCGATAAGATCTCCAAGCCGTCGAATCTTATTAAGGTTTTTAATTTTAAACGCTAGTTAATAAAAAGGCGTAGCTACTTAACCTTAGCGGCGTTAATTAGAGGTACCTCGCTACCGGTATTTAATAGGACTTATAAAGGGTATTCTTTTCCCTGATATTTTATCTATATAGTATAATGTCACGTAGGCATGCACCCCTAGTAGGAACCACCTAGCTTACCTAAGCTAGCTAAGCACTACTATATGTACCTATAGATCGCTCTATACTCTCTAGTAGCTTTCCTTTTTTTCTAGTTAGTTAATATATACCTTCTTACCCTTATTCCATTACTCTCCTTACGAATAACCTATTAACCTAAGCTTAGCTCTCGCTAGTTACGTAATAGTTATAAGCCCGGGGTACTTCTAAGGAGCTATTATTACTTAGGTTATTCTAGCGTAAGTAAGTAATATATTTATCCATTTCTTAGATCTTACGATTATACTCCCTTCTTATTTCTATACCGGTACTCTGCTCTTATATCTAGTAATAAATAATCGCTTACTTATTTTATTATAACGATTAATACGTCCGAATTCTCCCTAGATAAGATTCCTATTAACGTTTACCTACGAGCTTACGATAAGTAGCTACGTTAGTTCCTTACGCTTAAGTCGATAGCTACTTGATTCGGTATCTAAAAGGACGTTAATCTAAATAGAATTAAGTTTAACGCTACTCGAGTCGTAGTAGGTATTCTTAAGGAATATATTACTTAAGAAAACGAATTCCTTAAAGAAAACTATAAGAAAGCTATTTATAAGTAGGCGTCGATCCTAACCGAAGACCGAGGAGATTAGCTACTAAGGCTTAAGGTACGAACTCGAGA